GAAACCATAGCTATCCTCAAAAATATTATGATAAAATATAAATGATGTTGGTTGAGATGAATAATGAACAAAAGGATGTGAAAAAACAAAAATGGTTTGATGAGATAATGAAAAAGGAATAAAAAAAAAAAATCAATCTGTAGAAGAGAAAAAGGAAAATTATCTGCAAAGAAAAGGAAGAGAATCTAACAAAAGTTTTACTGTATTTCAAGATGAAATCATGTCTGTTGAGCTGACATGTTTGTTTGGAAAGGAAAAAAGAATTCAATGGAAGAGAAAAAGCAAGAGAAGACAAAAAGTGAATAGGAAAAAGTCATAAATATGGGGAATGTGGAGGGGGAGGAAAAAGGAGGGGTGCAAATGGAAGGATATCAATGAATGGAAGGGTGTCAATAAGATGAAGCAGAAGAATGGTAGTCTGGTCAACTAGTCACTCAGTCCACGCTAGTGTTGCTAGAAAAGCCCAAATCAGCCAAGATGAGAGGTGCATTGGAAAGGGGCCTCTACTCACTGTTTGTGTGATAGTCCCTCCTGCCTCGGGTATCTCCTTGCTCTATTGAGAAAGGAAAACTTTTGTTAAAGGAATTTGTTGTCACTTAGCAAAGGATCCCATAGTAGAAGATTGAAGTCTTGGTCAGGAACCATCCATCAACAACGAATGACATTATATGGTGCTTGTTAAATTTTGGTAATGAAATAGAATTCTTCTCGAGTTGTTTATTGTAACATACATGTGGCTGTTTTAACAATTTATCATCCAATAATAGTGTTTTTCTCTCATTTCTCTCTCTCTCTCTCTTTTTGATAATATGATCCTAACAAATGTGAACTGGTAAATCCACTGCATGGAACAAACAGGCTAAACTAAGTATCAAGCAAATGAAGATTTTTTTTTTATCCTATTGCCACAGGGGGGGGAAAAAAGAAAAAAGAAAAAAAAAAAAAAAAGCATAAATATATTCAAGGAGATAATTAGGAATTGACTCGTGTCACCCAACAAAAAAGCAGGTGGCTTTGCTCAGATCCAGACACTAAATTACCTATTATCATTATTTCTCCACAGGTGACTTTCCAATGACAACAACCTAGGTAGAAATAATGGCTGCTGGCTTAGTTTTTGCAACAAATAGCAGAGCGAAGGTAGTATGTCAAAACCTCGGTTCCAGGCACAGGTTTGGCTACAAGACAAACACAAGAGACAACAACATATTGATTTGGTGATTGATCTTGATTCATTTTAAGCTGTCAGTTTTAATAAGACTGAGACTTCATTGAATATCACATTGCTTGGAGTTTCTTTTACTTGCAAAAATAATTGAATGAAACACACTAAACTAGTCAATAATTGCAATAGCAAGCAGCCTGTTGAGAAAGGAGAATACTTATTCATAAGATCCAGTCTTGTACAAAAGATTAAAGAAAAAAGATTTTATACCTTAAGGTCCAATAATAGGCGACCAAATTTTAAACAGTCTCAGCTTATATATTTTATGCGCAAAATGTAAAGAAAATCAGTAAAATTTGTAAAACTGTATTTAGCTTTTTAAGCAAGAGTAATTGCACAGAAAATAGCATTAAAATTTGAAAATAAAAGTTTGCAATCTGCCACCAAACACAACAGATGAATGGACAGTAATTCAATAAAAATAAAAAAAAAAAAAAATAAAAAACTTAGTGGGTGGATAAAAAAACAAAAAAAAAAAAAAAAAAATTTGCACAAAGCAGAAACAAAGAAAGTCAAGAGCAGCATTTCATCGTTTTAATTCTTGAAGTGAATTCTGATTTTCAAAAGAGTTGGACAAACTAAATTCTACTATATGAATAAGAGAGAGAAAGAGCTTAGAAATCTGAAAATAATTGCTTTGTAATAATTTTTTTTTTTATTAATTAAATGATTGATATACCATTTTCTTTTTAATTGCAAGTTTTCACACAAATACTGTGCACCAATGTTTACAAAAAATATAATCATCACATAGCCAATGTGGGCTTTGCAATAAATTTGTAGTCATGTCCAGGTGATGCCAGGGGGAGAAAGGCAAAGTCTGGATAAGTTTGATAAATATGAAGAATGGTAATTGGCCTAAAAGAAGAAGAAAAAAAAAAAAAAGGTGCTTGAACTATGATTAAGATGTTATTGAAATTAATGATTATATGATACTAGGACAGAACCCTGGATGATATTGGAACTATGAGCTTAGAAAAGTGTGAAGGAAAAACATTTATCCAAGGAATATTTGAATGGAATTCTGGAAAATGTTTTGGGAAAAAATGATCAGATAATCATGACTGATTAATAATAATAAAAAATAATAAAAAATAAAAAAAATAAAAGATAATCTTAGCAATCAGTTGTATTCAAAGTCCAATCACCATAACCAGCCTTTCAATAGATCAATATTGAATTAAAAATTAAAAACGAATGAGCAGCAGCCTAAATGAAAAATCGTAAAATGTTTATTTTTTAGCTGGTGTCTATATGAAAAGATAAATACTTATATTTGAACATATAAGATCCAAAGAGGTTCAAGTCAATTCTCCATTCATCAACAATTGTCGATTTCTGGTATTCTTTAATTTGAAACTTCAAATAATTTATGTTATCCTAAAGCAAATCTGAAATCCTGTCAAACTGAATTTATATAAACATGAGTAGACCTTTTGGTTTAAGGTGAAAGATAAAAAGTTCAAGACATTTGTTTTGATCCAGCTGAAAATCAGCCAGTGCGTGTGCACACACATACATACAGACACACACCCAAAATAGCAGCCATAGAGTAATGATCAGTCTGATTAAGACTGAAACAAAGCAACTTAGAAATAAAAAAAATCTGTGTGGAGGGTTACTTTGCAGGGAGAGGCTAATAATCCCAAGTGTACAGCCATCTCACTTGAAAAAAAAAAAAAAATCAACATGGCAAATAAAAAAAAAAAAAAAAAAAAAAATAAGAAAGAATTAACGTAAATAATACCAGCAGGTAAGCAAAACTCTGGTGTTCAAATTGACATTTAACAAAAAGAAACATCAAGCAAAAGAAAAAATTAAAGAATGCGTAGCAATGATTATGATTGGCAACCTAAGCAAATAACAAAAGATTATTCAAAAGGTTTATTGAATCTTATCAAATAAGTTAATATGTGCCACTTCCAATTTTTTTCGTTTTTTTTTAAACACTGAGGTGGATGTTATGTTCTGATTTGAATCCAACATGGAGCATCTGTTCTAACACTTAAGCCAAATCCACACATCTTTACAATGAGTAGATGTGATTTTGAGAAAGTATTTTTTTTTTTCAGATTAGCAAAAGTTTTGCTTCAGAATATTCCACATATATTGATATTTATAAAAAAAAAATGCTCAAACAATAAAAGGAATTTCTCAATTTCCACATTGGCTTTTGATAGTAATTACTATTTTAATAGTTTACTCATGAAAATATACAATTTCAGAGAGTAACAAAGTTGATTAAAAAATAAAATAGTAATACTTTGAATGCATTTTAATTTACTCAAGATTAAATGTACAGATAAATATAGATGGATTACAATAAATGATTATGGGTCAATATGTGCACAGGTTCCAAAATGAAGCAGGTATCAACAGTATTTCAACAACATCTACATTTAATACACTGCCTATCCTGGGGCATCAACAAAGACCTGTAATCTTGCGTGCACACCCACATATCTGCAAAGATGGCAAACAAGATTCTACAATTCATTATTCCCTGTTTTTTTTTTTTTTGCACCTGTTCACGTAATATAGCAAGATTTCTAGGTTGGGTTAACTGACTAAGTCAGGCATTGTCCCAGAGATGTTCAATGGAAGAGTTGGTCGTGGCAGAGCACGAAACATTGACTAACATTTTCCAGAACATTTTGAATAGCATGGGCATCACAGAAGGAGGCATCATCCTGTTAGAATATTACATTGCCTTTTTTGTAGCAAGAGTAGCAGCAGAATTGGTGGAATGTTTTGAATATACATGGTACTGTTCAATGTTCCCAAACACAAAATAACTGAGTTGTAATAATTTATCACATCTAACACAATATGATGGAGGGGTTAATTTGGTTTTTGTGGGTCATAAGTAAATACATTCTGGGAGATATCACTTATTATATCTAAATCCCACATGCTTGACACTATAGAGTACTAATTCATCCTTTAGCTGACCTTCTCATGATTGTGTTGCAACATTAGTGGAAGTTTGGTTAGAGACACCTGTATCAGTGAGCCTTCTCAAAGTTAATGGTCTGTGTTGACATTCTTGGAGTTACATTTGCTTTGATCTGTACAGTGGATACCACTGCTGCTCTGAAAATGCATCAATTGTGGCATGTGTCTGTACTATGTAGATTTTAATTGAACAAGACAAGCAAGTGCATATCTGTGGCATAACATCTCAACTCAACTGAACCTTATTGCAGTATGAATCACCCTGTGAAGAACACAGATGATGCAATGGTATCAGTATTAGAGCCTCATAAAATGACCGAAGACTTGGAAAATGTTATTGGAATCTCTACAAACTGTTAGAATGCACTTAAGCCAGATCAAAAGTCATTGACCTTTTACACGTGGTAATTTTATTTTCTGTTGTGTAGTCTCAGTTGTCTTAAATGTACAATAGTTTCTTCAAAATCATTATGCCTAGTTATTTGTTTGGACCATGTTAGCAAAGATTTAAAAACCTACATTAAAGAGAAAAATGAACTTTTTCAAAGTTCTCGCTGTCAAAGTTGATGATCCAGGCGAGTGATCATAAAAGAAAATGAAATGTCACAAAAGCATTTCATTATTGGTACAACTTAGAAAATAAATGAGTTTATTTTATATTCTCATTAAAAATCTCAAGTCTTTTCCTTTTATTCTTTATGACTATCCTCAAATGCAAATTTTGAGTATGGACAATTATTCATGGTTTGCAAAAGTGATGAATAACAGCTAAAGCATAATAACAAAAAGATAAAAACCATAAAGTCAAGGAGAGACTTACCACTCAATGTAAAACTAGAATCTTGCTGGTTACGTGCCCCACTGCGTGTAGGTGGCCTTGCATGAAATTCTGGGTGCTCAGGAAGGATAGGATTGTCAGACTTCCGTGTGTCAAACTCTTCAGGTTCCTTCATTTCAACCACATTTCCAGTGTAGGGCTCACGTTCAACTTTCTTGGGAAGCATAGCCTGTAAAAGATTTTTTTTTAAATGGATAGATCAGAAATTTCACATTATTTTCTTATATTTGCCTCAAGACAAAGGCCTAGAATTTACGAGTATTTTTCAAATAAATATTAAAAATAGATTAGTAAAAGAAAATTTTAACTTGGGTTATTTCAATATGAAATCACAATTTTCTTTCCAGCCAAGAAATAACCAAACAATTATCTAGAGTTAAACTAATTAATCATAATTACTTATAAATTACAAAGAGTAGTTCATTTAGGCATGTATAATTAACCTATGTCCAAATGTAATACTTACCCTGTCACGTCCTTCAACACGTCCATAAACTGATTCGGCAAGAGGTGGCATAGGAATAAAGCGGCCAAGTCCCTGAGTTACTTTGAGCTATGGGGGGAAAAAAAAAAAAAAAAAAAAAAAAATTGATGCATGAATCAGACAATATGAATCACAAGATTATTAAATCTTAAAATTTTACAAAAGCATAAAATTTAAAAGAAAAGTCAATGGAAGTAATTTACTATCCAGTGTTGTTTGTTTTCAAATCTACATGAAATTCTACTATAAAACAGCTACTAATTACAAGGTTTAAATGATTAATATGCAGAAATGTTGCAGAGCCTCTCAAAAAAAAAAAAAAAAAAGATAAAAGAAAAAAAAAAAAAAAAAAAGGATCAAAAAAAAAAAAAAAAAAAAAAAAAAAAAAAAAAAAAAAAAAAAAAAAAAAAAAAAGAAAAAAGAAAAAAAAAGAAAAAATAAAAAAAAGAAAAAAAGCTGTTTGATCAGGATAAATAGCAAATTCCAAGTGATATATTTTTCCTTCAAATAAGGAACCAAAGTCAGAAATATAAAACCTAATAATTCCGAGCAATTGGTTAAGTACCTTCAACTATCATTATATTTGAAACTGATTAGAACAAATGATTTGTAAAACACCAAGCCATTTCTCTAATTATGAAGCAGCAAACTCACGTTTCTGAATCTCGATTCAAAATCATTCAAAAAAACTGAAAGTGAATTATCATAAGCACAGATTAATTTGACTAATCAGTAAATCTGTCAATTAATGAATAAGGAGAATATAGTTACATACCTGGCCTTCATCTAGAACGACATGTCCTCCCATGATAACATAGATAGGCACTCCATGGCAGACCATCCCCTCAAAAATATTGAAATCACAGGCCTGGTGATGGGTTTTGGCAGAGATTGTACGAGTTTGATTAGGGTCCCAAATAACGATATCAGCATCTGAGCCTACAGCAATTCGTCCCTATTTAAAAAAGAAACATAAGTAAAAGCATTGTTGATTTCTTAGGAAAATTTTAATAATTTTGGGTATAAAAAGCAGAAACTTGTATCAGATCTCAAACACACACAGCCAGCCGATTCCCCAAAGATTCGGTAAGAGATCAAAATAGTTTAACATTCTAGAAGAACACTAAAATTGATAACATTATGAAACTGGAGAAATCACTTTCAAGTTCAAAATAAGCATGTATTTGAACAAAAAAAAAAAAAAAAATTTAACACTTACACTGGTGTTCTTTAAATTTCTCTAAGCATTTTTTTTTTTTTTTAACATACAAGATGACAGGAAGAATTTTTACAATAAGTCATACATCATTGTAGTTAGTACAAATTTTACAAGTCTAACTGGTTAGTAAGGAACCTAACACTTTATTTCTAATTTAATCTATCAAAGTTGTGAACAAGCAGATCATTCAAGATCTGCCAATGCAATCCTTACTTGCTTTCAGTTATGAGAAGTAAATTTGTTTTAGACAAAAAAAAAAAAAAAAAAAAAAAAAAAATTGTGTGTGTGGGGGGGTATTTGCTTAATATAGCATATTTGCAGATATAAAGATTTTACAAGCTCATATTTCATTTAATAAGACTCTCACACACACATACACAAAACCTTACCTTTTGGGGATAAATGTTAAATATTTTAGCTGCATTAGTGCTGGTAACTGCTACAAATCTACAAGGGTCCATTTTTCCAGTATGCTAAAATAAGGGGATAAAAATCATAAATTAAAAGAGAAGGGAAATTATACACAGAGATAATGTATTTACAAAATAGAAATAAGTGTATTTTGGTTAAAGTACTGGGCAAATTCAATAAATCTGTGACATTTATTTAGTTTCATTTCTTTTCCTATTTTCAATTTACTGAAAATGAAAAATATAAAATTCCATTTGGTTTCATGTATCAATAAATCAGAACATTGTGATGCAAAAAGATATATGACAGCTAATAAATTCTTTAATTCAATCTGAATTTTAAAAGCTAAAACTAATCACATCAGTTTATTTTCGCAGGATAATTTTAAGGGAACATATTCAATGTTTGAGCATATTTAAAATTCCATAGATATTAAAAATATTATCTGGGAAAAAATAACGTTGTAGTAATTTATGCAACATAAGGTATAAATTGTTTGATACTTACCACTCCTTTCTCCCAGATCACAGACATTCTGTCCTCGACCCCATTGACTCCATTTGGTATCCGTCGGAAATCATCTTTACCCAAAGCCTTCTGTTCAGCATTGAAGGTACAATTGTCTGTTCCTGTACACTGAAGGTCATTGCTAAAATAGACATGCCAATTTTTAGCACTAAGTAAAAACTGCAACACTTAAGTCAAAGTAAATACAAAGAAAAAGTATAAGCAAATAAAATTCCTTATATATGTAACACTGAAATCTCCGAGGTTGATCAAACAAAAAGAGAAAGAAAGGAAGGAAAAAGGGAGAGTCTACTAACTGGATAATAATTGTTGAAAGGAAGATGGATTGAAAAGTTAAGAAAATTAAAAATGTAATGTGTTGAAAAACATGTTTTTGAAATAATTCCAAGGATAAAATAAAAACATGTTAATGATAAAGAAACCACGGCAGTTGCCAAAATATATAACATTCACGATTCCTCCACACAGAACAAAACAAAACAAAAAAAAAAAAAACATGTTTTGAATCGGCCACATAAAAGAAAAGTATCTCCACAGAGATAGGGACTGACTGGATGCGTTTGTCATAATTTTGGTGACATTTGGCCAGAAAAAAAATTTCATATCCAAACATTTATTCAGATTCCTTTGGATACAAGTGGTAAGGAAAAAATTAATTACTATTTTGAAGTGACTATGTGTAAAAAGGTTGGGTGGTCTGTTCAAATCAGACAAAAAAAAAAAAAATATGCATAGACAGAGAAAAAATAAACTTTTTTTTTTTTAAGGAGAGTGGAAATGTTTTTTCTTTCCTTTTACAGTTCTTGAGGTCTGGTTGACAGAGAGACCCCAGCATGGGGCAAGCTGATAGATAAGGATGAATGACTGAAAACCCCTTTTGTTTTTGCTGCACTATCTGGAAGTTGGATATGTCGCTCCAGCCCAGAGAGCAGGCTGAGGTTGGCTACTAAGAAGGTGGGAGGAAGAAGCGAGACAGAGATTAGTTTTGCCTATATGGAGCTGAAGCGTAAAGAGAGTTGGAGTTAAGGGGTGGCTTGAACCCTCTGACCACTCTTAAAAGGGGACTAGACAACCCCAAATTTGGAAAACCACGAGTAAATGTATTTTTATATATGGAAATTTAGAATAATTTGATGCTTAGGGTAGAAGACAACCAAACCCAGACCCTAGTCAACCCCACTCCAACCAGGCACAGGATTCTCTATAAGCTGGAGATTTTGAACAGCTGGCACACAGAGAGGGAAAGAGAGAGTCCCCACAATACTGCTATTGAAATCCACATCATTTGCTGACACCCTTTGACCAAGACCTTGTGTGGAATCTGAAGACCAGAACTTAGAAATTTAAGTTACTACTAAAACAATCTGCAGACTCTGAAGGGGATCCCAATGTCATTTGATTATAACAACAAGCGGGAAGGGTTAAAACTGCTGTATACAACAAATCATATATAAACCAAATTGTTGTTACATTTTTAACCAGAGTTAATTCTTTATTCCCAAGGATTCTTATTTTGTTGTGTAGCTTCCAAATTGTTGAACCATCTTCATTTCAGTTTGCTTCATCAGTGATCTTCTCACATTTTGAGATCAAAAACACAACGTGACAGATAAGTGAATGGTTGTGAACTGACAAATGCCAGCTAGGTAGAGTGGAACCGTGCATACAGTCGCGATACCCATGCTAACAAGTCAGCTAAATGGTAACCATAGCGGTATGAAAGAACTTGAGGGCCAATGACTGGGTAACATTATTGGTTGCCACTGACAGAAATCGATTCAGGGGTTATGAAATAGCTGAAATTTCACTGCATATTTCAGCAATGTAACAAAACAAAAATGGATGTATCAGATCTTACAATTAATGAATGATAAACTAATGAGGCTTCAAGATTGCACAATGTCACAATGTGATGTCTATCAGTATTTTATATTTCCAGTGCACACACACACACAAACAAACAAAAAGCAAAATAAATGGTTGCTGGTTTCCAAGTATGCTTTCTGATAGGGTGGCTAGCTAATCCTTGTTGCAGTAGCCTGCTCAGGCACATTTATTTTTTCAACACACACACAGCTAACCTATAGTTTATACTTCAAGTATTCTGAGTGAATCTTAGTTTCTGAGAGAGAGAGAGAGAGAGAAAAAACACACAATCTGGTTGAACAAGGCCAGTATGCTCAAACCATTGCTAGCAAAACCATCAACAGATTCTGAACAAAGCTCCATCTATCTAATTTCACTCACAAGGCTGAGTTCAAACAAGGTTCTTGTTTTCCAGCACTTTGCAGTAGTGCTGCTGTGTGCTGGGATCATCTCCCCAGGCTAGCATTAACAAGAAGTCACCTCCTTGACAGATCGACCATGGTGGGAATTGAACACTGGTCTCATGACTGGAATGTTATTTTTTTTTTTTTTTTAACTATATGCCCACTATATATAAAATATAAAAAGACATACAAATTTATATATCCAACTAATATTTAGAAATTGAATTTTTCAATTTTCGCATTTTGTCATTTCAATTATAAACTCTAAACAAATTAGATGATTAAGCATGTAGAAAAGTAAATTCTATCTGCAAATCCAATAAAAAAAAAAAATTATATCAAAGAGTTTAACTTTGAGAGTTTAGATTTTCTGTACTAAATCCAAAAGAAAATTCCAAAATAGAGCAGAAAATATCACTTTTGGCAGGCTTACTTATTTAAGGTGCATATTTACACACTTATGCACCTAAAATAAGTTAGTCTATCAAAGGCATGTACAAACATAACATTCTGTAAATTAGACAAGATACACACTGCTAGAATATTTCCATGGAATCTACAATGGATATAGGGAGGACAATAATACTGTTGGATTGAGCAAGTTTGCAGCTACCAAAACACTCTTTTTCCACATTCCCCAGTATTATTTATGAATAGAAACATACCACTATCACCACTGATGAAACATTAACAACTGCCTAACTGTGCTCATATCCATTGTTTAATTTCTATAAGAGCTGATGATTGTCAATGGGTGCAATTTGTTTTCTAATAGAATTCAATAGTACTCTTCTGCTTTATGCACTTTCCATATCAGACACTATATTGACATACTGGTGCTCAATTGCTCTTTTTAACAAAGTAAAGCAAAAAAAAGAAAAAGAAAACAAACTGAGAGCAAGGTTCAACCTCTACCAATGAAATTGTGGAGCTCATATAATAAAAGCAGCAGCATTACTTTTGGAGTGACTCCCATATCATTAAAGAAGTATAAGCATTTCCACCCACAACAAATTCTTGATTAATTTCTGATAATTACTTCATTCACACAGTATCAGCCAACTTTTCTACATGATAATTGCTAAGTGTCCAAGTTTATTTTCATCATCTTAATCATCATAAACTGATTAGATGTTCTCAGAGAAAGACGACAGAATGTCTGGAAGTCAGGTTAGGTCATATTCAAGAGCTATAATTTTTCATGATTTCATGTTAATTTTCAATGGCAATATAAAAGGTGGTTCGAAAGTCTCGTCACCCCTACATAATATAATTTTCTATTTCAGATGGCTGACACAAGCTCCTACATGAAAATGTTGTTCATACCTATCTTCTGTGTGTGACAGCATCAATGAAAGTGAATAAACTGAATCCAGTACATGTGCTTTGTATTACTTGTTCTATTGTTCTCATTAATTTTTTTAGGTTTTATTTTAAAAGAAATCTTACATGCAAACTTATTGCTATATTTGATAAATTGTTAATTTTTTTTTCATTTAACTTCCTGAGGTCCATAAAATTAGGATCCAAATTAAAATAAGAGGTTTTTCTTTCCAAAGAGAAAGAACACGACTGTTTAATTAGAAAGATTATAAGCCAGAAAGGGTTCTGAATTACACTATTAAAATAAACAACTTCATTAAACTTTTCTCTTCTGAGCTTAATTTACTGCCTGGTAAATTATGAAGTTACAAAATAAGCTAAGAAAATTTATGATTTGAACAGCATCTTCAAGTAAAATTCTTTAGAGACAGTTGCTTCAAATAATTTAAAATAAAGTCATTTTTTCCTCATGGATAATAAAAACTACTTACTTAGCTAAAAGATCCATCAGATAACCAGGAGTAGTAGGGTCAGGACGCAGGGGTGGGCTCATAACATGACCTGCAGCATGACGCCAGCATTTATTCCAATAATGAGTACCATCAGTTCCTAAGCTTGCTGCAATTGGTTCACCAAACACAATTTGACCTGTAACAATAAAATGTGTACAGTTGTGACAAATGGCATATTTTCTCAATTGAGATAAATGACATCTGGCATACACAAAAGTAAGCAAACATGCAACTACAAAAAGATAAATAAGAATTTATAGGATAAAAAAAAAATTAGTCATGCATTTCTTTTGTTAATCAAGAACAATGACTTAATATTTTTAAACATGGAAGCATTATTTTTAAAAATAAATATAGATAAAGGTGATTTCCAATTGAAAAAACAATAATCAAAATGAACATTTCATTTTAATGGTAATATTTGAAATTGTAAATATCTAAAAAAATGAGAAATTGTCTGACTACAAGATACTTATAGTGACAGTTATATCCCCAAGGCTTTATAGCAGCTTCTATATAAAGCCACACATTTTAGCTGTTTGAAGCAATCTAAGTATCTTCAAAGACATATTTCTAAGCTTTCATTTAACATTATAGCTTATTTAAAAGTTCTCAAATGATTACTTATTTTAAAACTGAGGTGTGGGGAGGGAGAGAAAGAAATCCCCGAGAGTGAAAAAACATTCTGAGAAATGTAGAATGATGAAACTTTATGGCATAAAACAAGTAGGATAACTTTTATATAAGCTATGAGAGTGTCAGATTAAATTAACCACATTATTAATTAAATTTTATCTCTTTGGAATATTAACACAAGGTTTTCATGTCAGAATCCAAATAGTGTCTAAGTGATACAACCCTTTCAAAAGTCTTTGAGTACAAGGGTGTTAAAGTTTGATTAAGTTAAATGATATTTCAATACTGGTAACAAAAATTTAAGTAATAAAGATACCAATTTTAATTTGTAAATATTTAATGTTTGTAATTTACAAGGAAATAGTGAAAAACTCTCAGCTTGACCAAGAAGCCCAGACACACAAAACTGATATTTGTTCAAACTCTTTTTGGAAGCAAGTCAAAGCAAGAACTCCCCCCCCCCCACATCCATCATATCAATACAAACATTCTATAATTGACATTCTTATTAAAAGAATCTTTGCGGCTTATGTTAAAGGCTTCAGTTTCATCTTAATGCTACTGAAAAGGTAAAAAATGTATTGGGTAAACATTTATTTTTTGCAACTCCAAACAAACTGAAAAGTTACAGAGATATTAGAGTAGGTGTTCATGTTGATTACAAAAATAACTGCAATAATAGTAGTAATAGAACAATTGTCAAATTGTTTGCTTTCAGTTATCTTTAATATCCAATGCAATTCATTTTTAAAATAAACCTTATTAATCAGTGAATTAACTCCCTTTACTTGTTTACTTTTGGACAATTGAACTTTTATAATTTTATGCATTTTTCCAGGGACGTGTAGTTAGTATAGTGACTATTGGTACAGAAAATAAAATTGAGGTGCCGAGTTCAAGTTCTGACAATTTTCCATTCATTTTGTCCTAATGCTGTTGTAAAAAGCACAAATCCATGTTTCCAGCTCTGTGTTAAACAGCAAGGTACTTTGGATTCTCTTGCCTGGGTAGGGCAACCAGTCTAGCTAGGAGGACAACTGAATTCAAAAGCAGCCTGACAAGAGTTTTGTTCCATCAGGCTATCTTGCTTTATGTTGTGGAGACCCCCTGCCAAAAGAACCTCTATGAGTTAGAGAACTAATGACTGTGATATTTTTCAGATTGTCTTTGTAGATTTTGAAAGGTACAATCTTCACTTTCTTCTGATACATATTGATTCCAATCCAATGAATTCCCCAAGTACTTCCTAATCATCATCATAATAAATCCTCCTTTTCATATAAGTAGGAGACACCAATCAATCAGAATCAAGAAACTCAGTGTTAACATCTTGCATTAATATCAATGAAATTTTTTGATATTGTTTCTTAATCAATCCCATGATTCTGTTAGCATGGAATGAGAAAAAAAAAAAAAAAAAAAAGAAGTGCTTAAAAAATTCTAAAGACTAGATACAACATACTCATGAGGAAGTATGAAGAATGTGTCGGTTAAAATGTATTAAAAGATGAAAAATAGATATAATAATGAAAATACTTCATCTCAGAAGAAAATAATAACATTTGAAAGTTAATGAATTTGAAACTGTTTAAAAGGATTTATAGGAATCACTTAAATCACAAATTTTTGCATCATTTTTGTGTTTTCAGCTTCTCAATAAGCATACAATTCAATCATCAGATGTGTTGTCTACAACTGATTTGTTGAGAGAATTATGAACTAAAAGAAAAAATATGAGGACATGTTGAAAAGTTATTGGCTTAATCAAGAAGATCCTTAACTAATAAAAATCAAACATTTAATAATTTGGTTACATTTTGTTTTCATCACTCCCTCAAAATTCAGGGAAAAAAAAAATCAAAAGAGGTTAGTGCTTAAAAATGATTTCAAGTTTATTAATATTTTATCAGTATCACAAATTAATGTAAAAATCCAAGACACAATCTACTGTTATTTGTTCTTTTACAGAAATTATATATCAAGTTTCTGAATGTCAGATTTACTATGAAAGAGAATTTTTGGCTTACAGGAAAAAAAAAATCTTTGCCCAAGAACATGTTAAATCAGTTTGAAAAGGTCCAGTTGGATTTGATAAAATAGCAAGCAACATTCTTATGGGTTTTGTTTGTATAAGTATATGACTAAACCATGCAAAAAAAAAAAAAAAAAAAAAAAACACACACAATCCTACAATTACATAGTAAATTTGCTATGAAAAACTGGTTTATGACATTTTGTATTTAGAATCATTAACACAAATTTAAATTCATTGTGTTCTTCAATCATTTTAGTAGCTTTGCTGCATATTTTATAGTAAATGCTCAGATTATTGCCTTTTCTATACAGACATGCACCTATTTAAATAGACAAGCTGAAAATACTTTCAGCATTAATAGCCCAATCTATAAAAAAAAAAAAAAAAAACACAACAAACCACTTAATTACCAGAGAAAAATGATAAAAGCAAGTTAATGCTATGTAAAGAAAAATTAAAGCAAAGTAAAATTTATCAAAAGATAAAAGAATCCTGTTGTAAAATTAAGAACATTATGCAGTTTTTAATTGGTATTTTAAAATTGATTATTTTATAAAAATAAATAAGGCACAATAAGCTGAAAATGTTACTTATTTTAAGAATGTTAAAAAAAAAAGAAAAAAAAAAAAAGAAAAAAAATGAAAAAATGAAAAAAGAAAAGAAAATTATGCTCAAAAACAATATTTGTGCCATTTATGGATAGGATAAGGTAATGTGAATGATTAAAAACAAAATACAGTTCTTTGAGATTTTCTTCTAGGATGTGTTTTATTGAAAATAATCTGACTGAATGACTTTAAAATGTCCCAATTTAACTAGAAAGTCCAAAATAAAGAAAGAAAAAAGAAAGTTGTTTTTCATGATTATATTGATTCAAAATATTTTACACATGAAATATAATTGAAGAACACATTGAATACAGAAGGAAGGTGAAGTTACTATATACATGAAACAGACAACTGATCCCTTCCAGAAGGAAGGTGTGAAATTCTCACTAAGCACAAAATATATACAAATGAAAAAAAAAAAAAAAAAAAAAAAAAAAAACATAAACAACTGAAATTTAGACCATAAGCAATATTGTGTGGGCATTGAAAACAACAGCACCAAAGCAGGGCAGTGTTAATTTCACATTCCAAAATGTGAGTGCCTTTTGTCAACTCCTACCTGATCGTCGAGCATCAGCAATAGTCTTAGCTGATGCTTTACTCATAACTTTGACCACATACAATGGGCAATTGGTCTGGTTAGCAATGGTCACTGCACGCTGTACAGCTTCTTTCTCAACCTACAAGATGAATGCCCAAAGGAGATTACAGACATGGAGGGAGAGGTTTCAAATAATAAGAGGGAAATAACATTTGGAGGAGGTCAAGTGTCCACAGAACAGCAGCTGCAGTAGTTTGAAGTTTACAGTTAAGCAAAAAGAAAAGATAATTATATTGCAGAATTAAAAAAAAAGCCTTTAAGTTTTAAATAATAATTTCCTATAATCTAAATTATTACCTACAAAAGACAAAAATCAGAGAGAGGGAGAGGCAATTAATTCCCTCTTTTAAACCCTGAGGTTTTGATTTTTAATGGCAATCCTATATCAATTTGACAGTATCTACAACTTGGTTAAACTTTGAAATATTGCTATTCAGATAATTCTGTAAGAAAAAACACTTAAAAATGAATTCAATCTACAATGAAAACACATTACAGTTTGTCAAGATTCTGTTAGGACTTGACTAAAATGCTTAAGTCTATAAAAATTAAGGCTTGTTTCCTTTATTTCGGTACTAATTAATGACTACTTGAAAGTTTATCATCTTATAAGAGACTAAATACTCAACTTGAGCTTAAAAAACCCATGAGGATTAGAAATGCCTTTTCTATTTTATAAGTCAATTTTCTTTTCCCCTTTATCAAATTGGATTGTTTCAGTAGAGAAAAAAAATAAAAGTTCCACAACAGCAAGTTGAGCAAAAGAAATTTGAACAAACCAGAATGAGAAAGGATAAGATAATGCTAACAAATATTTTGTCAGTGAGGACATGAATAAATCCCCCATTTAACTTAAGCTTGAATTAAACACACACACATACACAGTTAATGCAATTGGATGCTGGAAAGATCCTTTCCTCCAAATTCTGGAAAATAGGTTAGGCTAAGAACTTTGCAATACTCCCTTCTCCAGTGACTTTTTCATTTTTACTTAATAAAACAGAATAGAAGGAACAGGCGTAAAAAAAAAAGAGAAAGAGAGAGTGTGGGTTTGTGCGTGCGTGCATGTGTGTTGCAATGAAAAAATGAGAGGAGGGGGTGCATCCGTATACATTTGACTTCAGAGACTGATCTCTGAAGACAAGATCACTGTGACACCATTTATTTCTCTATTTAGAATTTTATTGAAAACAAGAGAAAAAGTTAAGATAAATTAAAAATATTTAAGGGCTGTTAAAAAAAAAAAGAAAAAAAAAGTGGAGGTAGAGCTACTTTCTTCAAATGAGATCTGAGAAAAGTAGCAACATAAAAATCATGAAATATCCTGAGAGAGCAGTAGAGAGAAAAAAAGCAGCTTATCAGATGTTAAGAGATTATTTGACATTGTTATTTTATGATAAAGTTCTTTTACAATGTAAACAGAATTAAGCAGGCTGGGACAAGGTATCAAACAAGATAGGGAAATAATTGGGTTTATTTAAGCCAGAGAAAAGAATAGGGTATTATAGCAATCAATAAGCATTAAAATCTTTTGACAAGTAGGTCAAAAAAGAAATGTGAGCAATCAAATTGATTGACATCACTTGATCCTTAGTCCAGTTGCATAAGCTAATTATCAATGTACATGGTTCCTTTGTTAAAATTTTGCTTTCCATTTAATAATGTACTCTGACAAAATCTGAATGCAGAGAGCATTGGACTACTGATCCTGAGATTTTGACTTAATCTTTATACAACTGAGGGAAAACATTTTATATTTTGCAATTATTGAAGTGACTATTAAGATACCCCCCACCCTGCCAAAAAAAAAAAAAAAAAAAAAAAATCTCTTTGCTTATGCTTTTCATTCTTGAATATGGAGTCAAAACATTTCTCTTCTCTTGTAACAAATAGCAAATTGCCAATCTTAAGTGATGGATAAGTGAGACTCATTAACACAAAACTCACAATTACTTTGGATAACTAGCATGAAAAAGTGTAAAAGCTGAGATCTTCAAGGTTGTAAACTTATTTGAAGCCTTCAATTTGTTTGAATTAACCCAAGTAAATATATCATTTAAATTAATAAAATGATGCTAGAGATGGGTGAATCTTTTGTTAGATCTTATGCTCAATAAGACTACAATCAATTCTGACAACTTGTCAAAATTAAGATATAGAGTTCTTCAAACTAGGCTACATTTGAAGGTAAATAATGTGCTTTTGTAAGAGGACAATGCAAAGCCTCACAGCAGTTTCAAGAGCAGACAGGCTCTCCCAACACATAAGTAGACAACCTTGCATCATCTAATCTATATTCATGACATCCCAAGACTATATAATCTGTTTCGGCCCATGAAGTACGCATTCAGAAAACAGAGACTCTCAAATGATAAGATGGCAGAAGCAACTTGTACATGGCTAAGAAAGCAGTTAAAAAGCTTCTGTGAAAAAAATTATTATTGAAATGACACAATTGAGAAGAAAGATTTTGTTGAAGTCTTGGTTTGAAATCTCAATATTTATATTCATTTTGACATGCTTTATGCACATCTATGATTAAATCTTTTCTAATTAAAGACAAATCAGCAATACTTTTTCAACAGCCATTGGAGAATAGGTGGTGGTGGTGTGGGGTGAATTAGGTTCTCTTATTCATGAATTATTTACTAGGGGGGGAAAAAAACCCTCTAAAATGGATTCTTTGAAGCATTGATAACAATGCAAAATTCACTTGAATATTAATGAATATTTCTCAAAATTATAGAAAAACCAAAATAACCATTTAAAGAATGCAACATATTTATTACTTCAAACATTAAATCCATTAATTCTTTAGAAATTGTTTTGTTTACATTTTGGGTATGAAATTGAGCAGTATGGGCTTTTGAGAAAATAATGAGGGTATATGCTTTCCTTAAATAGTAAATAAAACCTTGCTGGTTGTCACAGTCTAAAGCATACTGTATCAAGTGGTGGTTTCTATAAAGGGAGATGCAGCTTTCAACCCTGCTGGAAAACACATTTTTGTTAAGTTTTCTCTAGTGTGCAGGCTAGCAGACATGATACCCACTGTTTAACAGGGCATCTGTTCAAATACGGGTATCTACTTTTGAAGTAAAAATTTTAAATTAAAATTGAATCCATTAATTGTTGATATATTTATCTTTGAAAGCATCAATGCCTTCTAGTATGATAAAATTTTCATTTTTTTTCTAAAAGATAAAATTCATGTGAAGAAACAAAACTAAGAATTACATAATTTTCTTGAGGGAAATGGCGTCATTTGGAAATCAAGAACACGGAAGAGAAATTTTTTTAAAATTCTTTTTAAAAAAAAAAAAAAAAAAAATAAAGACAATGATTAAAATATATTTTTTCTTCTTTTAGTGATTAAAGGAAGCAAGCTCCTTCAAAAAACTAAAATGGATATTTGTGGAATGTAACCTGGAAAGAGAGGAATTTCTAATCAGCCATTCCGTATTGCTATGTTGGAGAAAGGGAGAATCTAATGGCGTTAGGAAATTGGGAAAATATTTTGCTAAATAAAAGTAAGGGATAAATTAAATTATGTAAATGAGATCAACCTAAATAATAATTTAAAACGAGAAGATGTTTGAAGAGTTGGAGGAGGCATGTAGCAGGGATATTGTGAAATAAGGAAGGGGAGAAGCAAAAAGAAGGGCAGGTCCTGAAGAACAAGTGGCAAATATGTGTACATGAATGTGACTACTGCAGACATACTTCAACTACTACAACTGCTGCTGCTGCCAGTGTTGCCGTCTGTCAGAGTAATTCCTGCAATTGAAAAATCAATAATAAATCAAAAAATTTTTCATGAGAAACAGAACCAACCAGAACAGATAGAAAAATCAGCCCACAATCTTTTACAATATCATCATTATTAAGATTGGAAAATAACTGGCACTACACCAAGCAATCTACTTGTCTTAGATACCTAGGACTAAAAATATTTTATAAAGGTTATATAGTTCAAATTTGATTCCTGTTAAGGATTGCATTTTTCTTTAAGATTTCTTGAATGCACAGACCAAGAGATGTAATATTCACTGGTTAATAAATAAAAATGAGGTGTCTATTTCAAATACGAAGTATCCACTATAATAATGCTTAAAGTAATAGTTCAAATATAAACAAAGAGTTACATTTCCTCCAAACCGAATATACTCAGAACAATTTCATCACATTTATTATGATGATGATCATCATCATCATCACCACAATCATTGAAATAAAGAGAGGAGTTGGAGAAAGGTAAAGCATCAACCATTAGATTTGTTCCACCTTAAGAGTATTAGGAGTGAAATATAGATGAGAGTGGATAGCACAAAAAGTCAGGTGCGACTGTCAAGTGATGCCTTCCAAAACAAAGAGATGAAAAGCATCAAAAATAAACAAGTGGTCTCATGTAACAAATATAATCAACTGTGTGGGTGATAAAGAATCTCTACATATATGAATATTTGTGTATGTCATTCATGTGTGAACCAACACACTTTCAGACTCATTCACTTTCTTTTCAAAATATTGAATATATTTTCTTGCCGCAAAAGAAACATGTAGTAAATACATTAATGCAATATGCATTCAATTATGGATATACACAAATGCATAAACATTCATGTTTAAAGTCTGATTAAAGGAAGCATTTAGAGACTTCATAAGAAAAAGAAAAAACATTGAACATGGTATCATGCATGTGGAAGAATTACAAGCAGGTTTGATAAAGAAAAAGCTCTATCACTTGAGAGTGAGCAGAACTTACTTTCAACTCAACTTAATAAAACAAAAATTTAGAAAATGAATCATAATTTGACTATAAAATGTTAGTTAATAGAAATTTACAAGTCATTGAATGTGACTATTGTTTTTATTGATACACAATTGCAATATGAAAATTATGCTACACCTCCAAAAATATTTTTTAGTCAAGAGAATCTAAAAGAGTGCCAGGAATTTTCCAGTCTTTCAGGAGACTAAGATGAGCACAGACCTTGTCTACGAGCTTGTGTAACAAAGTTGGCAGCAGACTTGCTCATGACATGTACAACATAAAGAGGACACCCAGCTTGGTCGGCAATTGTGATTGCTCGGTGGGTAGCTTCCGCCTCCACCTAGTGAACAAATTGGTAGCATGCAGGAAGGACAAGCAACAGATTAGATAAAGAAATAAAGTCAAGCTGCAAAAGCAAATAAAAAACCAAAAAACACACAACATCAAGTGATTATTAAAAAGAAAGAACTATTTATAACAAAACGTAAACAAGAAAGAAGCAACAACAAAAGAACAATAACTGGTTAGAAAATGCAAATCTTTAAAATAATATTTAATGTCATTTTGTCACTTTTTAGAAAATTTAACTTTAAAAATAAAAAATAAAATAAAATAATATCCAAAATGACTTGTTTTATATACAAGAAAAATTCATTTTATAATCTAATGTATACGAAAGTATTGTTTATTGAAATTAACTCATCTTTTCCAAAGTGATTTTTTGCAAGCAGTCATCATTTATTCATGGAGGTAAGACTAGAAGAGTTAATTGGGTATTTTTTTTTTTAAATCAGCATCTGAAATTTATAAAAATTTTAGAAATTTCTTTACATAGGTGCATTTGACAGAAATTCAGCTAGATTTTGTGCTTTGGCAAATATGCACATAGCAAGACACAATGAATATAATAATTATAGTGTCTTGGAGCAACCATTTGCTACGGTCAAAAACTGAAAATTGCTTAAAGAATCTGCTCTCAAAAGATCACAAGCTCTTTATAGAAATAATCCTAAAAAGAATTAATGTAGTTGAAATTTTGACAGTGAGTGGGATTAGTATTTTCTTTTTATTCCAAAATGAAACAAGGAACTTTATAATATGAACAATAAAAACAAGCAATATTTTCTTAATGTCCACTCATGCAGAATCTATTAGATTGAGAGATTATAGAACCTAGAATATAATAGGTGGGCAAATGCTTAGGTTAAATCATAGATATTTTGGGGGAGGGGAGCGAGAAGCATGTGTGTATGCAAGTGTAAATATTTCTATAAAGAGAATACAGCATGCAAAGAGGTGTATGGATAAATTTACTCAAAACATGCTTACACAGGATTTAGAATAAAAAAAAAAAAAAAAAATGAAATAAGGATTTTGACCAACTGAAGCACTAAATTTTATCAAGTGTATTCAGTAATTTAGTAATTTTTAAATATCATCATGTACTATTTTTAGATAAATTACAAAAAGCTATAAGGGCTTTGCTTTAGATAAAGCTCTTTACCATGGAAAATCATTTTCTTTTATAATGACATACTAAAAAAAGACAAAAACTTTTTCAATGAACAAACATATTGCTATTATGAAAATATTTCTAAATCTGTTTTATTGATGATTATGGCTGCATGAAGGCATTCACATATGCACAATGTGGTAGGGGTGGAGAATGAAAAGGTCTAAATAGAAACTGATGTACTTAAATATCAAGTAACATCAAATATGATTAAACAGTTTTATATTCACTACACATTTGGATTTGTCAGTGTTTAAACCTGTTAACTGGTTCCTGTCAAGGTTGACAATGGCTAACTTTTCACCATTATTACTGCCTACTACTATTAAGTATAGGAGCATGGTTTGTATAAGTTCCCAATCATCTTTTCTTTTAAAACATCATGAGATGCCAGATATCTGGGAATGGAATAAATCAAAGTGAGAAATGGATTTGAAGGGTAAGAGCGTAAAGTAAACTTAAACTGAACATTAACCAGAATTGGAACTGCTGGCCAATTCCAATTTCTTGGCTGTTAACCATTCCACTATCACTGTGATTCATTGTAATAATACAAATCATCTATTAATAATAACAGAACAAAGAGAATACACTTGATATTAGACTTGCTTGCTGCTTAGGAGTTACATAGATGAAAAATAGAAAAATCACACACATCAAAAAAAAGAAAAAAGGCAGCAAAAAGTTAAGCATGCAAGTTGAGATGATGGAGGCGATGTGATAAATTGGAAAATGATATAAGCAACATTTAGTATGATAACTGACAGACTAAAATGTAAAAAAATATATTTGGTAAACAGTAAACTATAGACAAAGTAATTTGGTGGGGGGATTCTAAATTAGGATTATAGTTGGAACTACAACTTCCAACCCCTTGTGGCCCTTAGTGTTTTTCCCTTGCCCCCACCTCATTCCACAATCTATTCAACACAAACTGATCAAGTGGGTGGACCGCTGCCTTACTATATCTCTCACACCCTCAATATGCCCTGTGAGGGTCAAGTTTTCCAAGCCTTCCTTCCTCTTTATGTGTCTAAGAAATATCCAATTTGTTACCATTTTTTAAAAACATTTTTCCTCTTTGCTTACTCTCTTAGTCTATGGAATTCTCAGTATCCTTTTGTAGATCCACATTTCTGTTGCTTCCAGTTCTCTCTCCATCTTTGCAGAGATCGTCCAGCATTCACTGCCATACAAGAGCATAGTAATTCAGCAATATTTCTAATGAAATTTTTCTTTATTTAGTTTTTGGAATACAACTTTCGCTAATCCAATGAGGATTTGGATTTCAGTGTTGAATTTTCCATCCTCTATTAAAACACTTCCCAGATATTTAAACTTCTTGTGACAAAACCTGAAAACACTAACCAATATTTAAGGTTTATAGTACCAACTATCCTTAGACAATTTCAGCATTGACAAAAATCACAGAAGTAATAAATTAAATATGACAGTGACAATATACCAGAGGACCTCAGTTAATCCATCTTCATAGCATTACCTAAGAAACTAGGTGCAAATGAATGAGAACTCCATTGGACAATCATTTTAATGAGCCACATAATCAAGGTTAAATTGGGAGCAAACTTTCTGCATATGGATAGAAAATGAAATGTGTAGATATACAAAAATAGAAAAGGGTGTAAAACAAGGATGTTTCTTCTTTTCAGATTTATTCCACCTCTCAGTAAGGCTAACTTATGGAAAGTGAAAATCCTATCAGGATTTATTATCAATGAGCTTAATCTTAACAATGTAAGATATGCTGATGACAATGTATTAATGGCAGAAAACTACCGAATCACCTAGACAAGGTAGTAAAGGAAAGTGAGAAGAAAGAACTAACCATCAACTGCCAGAAGACAGAAACCAAGAGTAAAATCCCAAGGTGCAATCTTTAATATTTAAAATTGTTTGGATAACAAATGGAGAGGGGAAACATAACTGGAGTTCTTTGTATTATAGTACCTGACTCATGAGATACTGAGTGATAAGTCATTATATATATATATATATATATATATATATATATACGCACACACACACACTGTATGTACTTGCATAACATGTGACCTCTAAAAACCTAATTTTGAAGTTAATTTGACTGCAGTAAATGAATACATAGTTTGATCAATGGCATAATCAGGGTCAGCAGTATATACACTAATTTTATATCTTATGATGCGACCACCTTAAAATTAGGTCTTCAAAAGTTGCATGATACATGAGTATATATGTGTGTGTGTGTGTGTGTGTGTGTGTGTGTGTGTGTGTGTATATATATATATATATATCCAAAATGAAAAATGTTTAATTTTTTTTTTAAATCTTTAAATTCAGTGTGATGGGATTTCCCTCTGCAATGTTATGAGCCAAGCAAAACAAAAAATGCTTTTAATACTGAGCAGTACTGTTTGATTCTTAAATTTCAGTATGACACATACACACACATACAGTTCAAAAGTTTGAAGTCATCCCCACAATTAGTATGGGATGAACTTGACAGAAGTGTTAAAAGAAAAAGGAATCAATTATCAAGCTTATACTTTGAGAAGTTTTTGCAATGAATGCCAAAAATTTGTGCTACAGTAATTAAGGCTAAAGGAGGATATTTTGCTGAGTGCAAAATGTAATCATAAAATGCTTTGTTATAATAAAATTTCTAATAAAAAAATCATATCTCACTTTTCTTTAACCATGTATAATAATTTTTTCTTATTTAAACTACAAAACAATTACATTTGGGGCCAATTTAAAAAACTGCCTAGGGTTTCCTCACACTTTTGAATTGTAGCGTGTATAAAAAAGATTTTGATACAGGATGAAAAATTGTTTTTAAACAAGTTTTCTGAGAATCTTGGATAAAATTATCTGGATATTAAAAATAAACAGCCTGTACTCAGTATTTGAAAGAAAGAAACAAACAAACATTATGACTATTTCAAAAGAATAACATAGGAACAAACAAAACAAGAAAGACTTCATAAATATTCATGTTCTTAAGAACATTATAATGGTTAAACATCATCAAAATAGGGAAACTACCAGGCTGAACACAAGACTGGGTCATATACATTGGTTAAATCAATGCCTCTGAAGTCAGATTATACAAAATATTTTTAACATGATTAAGCAAATTGTTTTTACTTAGGTAATGGCAAATTTATTAAACAATATTCATTAACAAAAATAATAGCCATACTAAAATTACAATTGTCCACAATTGGAAGAATGCCATCATTTTTAGGCATTTTAATATTTGTTTTTACGTCAACATGAAGGACTGAGTCCATTAAGTTTAAAATGATTATGCTGAACATGCATAAAATGAAATTCTTCAAGAGAGGGTCACTTTTTGGCATTGATAATAACAATGATGTAGTTTTGTGGAACCAACAAGAATTCTTTTTTGAAATTTACAAACCAGTGAAGATATGAATACATTTTTCATCTCCAAATTTTCCTTTCTAATATTGCAGATAACTATATCCTCAGTTACATCCAAATGTATGTCAACGTTACCATAAAAAATTAGCCAGTAATATTACTTACCTCCTCAGGTCTGCACATCTCATGACCTTCAGGACCTGTGATGCCCATTGCAACTAATTCTTTAGATTTCTGCAAGAACATAAACAGGAAAGATCAACAATGAGAAAAAAAAAATTAAGAGTTTTTTTTTTTTTTTAAGGTGTAGATAGGAAAACACAAAGCAAGGATATTTCCCCTCGCTTTATTTAAAGTCATCTATTCATTTTTTTTTTTTAATAATCCTGAAAATTCATAAAAATCTCCAAATATTGCCTGATTTGCCAAATATTTAATATAATCATAACATCTAAAAATACAATCTCAGGTTTGAAAAATTTAACCAAACTAGCCACTCAAGAAATCAGACACCAGGCAAAAAGCCTTAAAAAACTAAATCATTGAATAAAAAAAACAAAAAAAAAACAAATACCCATTCATAGCTGTATGTAGATATTGCACATAAAGATATGAACATATCAATGCTAATTTCTAAGTAGAAACTCATAAATTATTAGTCATTTGAATTTAGAAAGATCGTAGCACTCATGTTAGCTAATATTAATTCATAAATGTGCAATTACATTAAATGACTGTAAAAGTATGGTAAAGTAGTAGTGAAGATCATTGAAAACTTAGGCTTCATCTTAAATATTGATGAAGAGTGTAAGCACATATCCAAGAAAAAAGAAATTCAAATCAAGTCTCAACAATATGTGATAAGATAATTGCAATATTTTATTTCTATGATTTTGTATCAAGTTATTCAGACAATTATTATAAGATAGAGAATTTTTTATAAGATACCAAGAAGGATTCAACTTGAGTTTTAGTACACAGCAGGCTTCTATAAAAGCTAGTAAACAAAATAGATCTATCATCTGCAGTTTCAGTTACCCAGAAAGTTACTCCAGAAATAATTCATGAATTTTTCTTAATAATCACCCCAAACTACAAGATTAGTGATGTTGGAAATTCAAATGTGGCAAAGGAAAGAAAGAATAAAAAAAGAAAGAAAGAAAATGTATGCTGAGGTTACTATGATCTACAATACAATAAAAAAAAAAAAATCTTGTCCCATAACTTATTAGAGCATAATGTTATTATTCTATTATTAGTTATTGTTGTTAATCTAATTGTGCCTAATTTATAAACTTCATTGTGTGTGATGTGTGTGTGTGCGTGCGTGTGTGTGTGTGTGTGCGTGCGTGTGTGTGTGTGTTAGAATATAGTCACTGCAGATGACAGAAGGGATTATTATTAGTGATTAAGAGGAGAAACTTCTCTAATCACCATGGAAAGCATGTCTGAAGAACAAGTTAAAGCAACTTCCCAACCTAACCATAATCTGATGCTTTCCCCACCATCAAAATTAGAATATATAATTTTCTGCACAGGGGTGGGGTTTCCTATTACATTAAAAATAAATTAAGAAAAACATTGTGCATATAAGCCCGTAAAATAAACATTCATTTATACAATTCCAAAATTATGCAACAAAATTATAGAATATAAAGTTTACTAAAAATTGATATGAATATTTTGTTAGGAAAACATTTAAAGAAAGAAAAAACAAAAACAAAACAGTTTTAGATGAATGAAATAAAAAATTCCCGAGCATCAATAAAAGCAATGGTTCAATAAGAATCAGTGATGACACATCATTACAAAACAATGTGGCCTATTTTTGCAGAAATTCCTTAACGTTGACAGTTTGAAGAAATGCCAGCCTCCTTTCTAAGGAGCTCCCAGCTTATTCAGAGGCTGGGGTAAAATGTGGAAAGAGTAAGAAGTGGAGCAGAAGTGGTAGAAAAACAGAATCCTAAGGGAGGGAAGGTGGACGTGAGAAAACAGCTGAGCAAATCACAGCTTTCCAAGAGAAAACTTACTTCCCTTTAAGCTTAACAGTCAAAGAAAGAAGCAATATTTAAAAGTTAATAGATTAAGACAAGGATGAAAATATTAGACATAATTAACAGGACATTGACAATATCCTTTCATTGTAAGTAATATCAGTAATTAATCTTGCAACAGATATTTATAACAAATTTTATGATAGACCAAAGCAGTGCACGTGGCAGGCACAAAATGGTGGTAGTCAAAAGAACTTCTCTTATTGCACTTGTATATACACACATAAACATATTTGATTTAATCTTTTTTTTTTTTTTTTTTTAAAAAACAATTCTTATCAGAAAAGCTTATGAACAATTCTGTACAGAAACTATAAAATAAGAATGAATTAAATTAAGATTATATACCATACATAGTACCTACTAATATGCATTTGTAAGTACACAGATATACACTTATTTGTATAAGAGAATTATACAGCAAGTATAAAATTGCATGTAATTCTATTATAAACAAGAAGCATTGTTAAAATATTTGTGTTCTTAAAACATTAAGACAATGCAATTAAAGTTATTGAGACCATTTTTTTTTTTTTTTTTTTTTTACTTTCTTTTCAATAAATACTTCAGGGCTAATTTAGTGTTTTAACTCTGCTACTTATTTAAAAGCCAAATACCATGACTTTCCCACCTACTAACAGTGTCTTCACTTTCGGCAGTTTCATTTACCCAAAGTCAACAGCAGAAATAAACAATTCATAAATTTTACTTCCTATTTATGACACCAAAGTGCAATACTAGCAATTCCATTATGTCAAAGAGAACTCATAAAATACTCCCCTAAATGAAATGGTGTAAGCTACCTACTGCATAAAGGTAGGTGTGTGTGTGTGTGGGGGGGGGGTGAAGACAGTTAAAATCTATCTACTGCACAATTTTATCATTGTAGAATAATTGTTTGACTTTATCATTAGTTATTGTTAATCTCTTTTTTCTGCTTAATATATAAATTAAACTATCATTATAGGTGTGTGTGTGTGTGTGTAATATATAAACAGGATATATGGGTTCTGTACTATTTGTGATTGCAGAGATCTGCTTGGGATCATGGAACATACCTCTCCCAATAAATGAGGCAGAACTACTGTATAATTACTATTAACCTCTCCTTTTACGTTTCCTTTTTTTTGGGGGGGGATGGTTAGAGGTCATGTAATAATTTCAATATGCTCATATCTATGAAATTATGTGCTATTAATGAAACATCACCAGATAAACCATAGAAACCAATAAAGCACGATCACTGGACAAGCAGCAACATTTATTTCTATCAATAGAAACAGTATCAGTCATAATAACAATTTGACCACTGACCCTTGGTTACTGTAAGTGACACCACTGCAACATAAAAAAAATTAAAAAAAAGAAATAATAAAGGAAAAACAGGAGTCAAATTTGAAGGGATCTATGAAAGAGAAAAATAGAAAAAGGATTCTATCAGTGCAACATAGCAATGAACTCGGAATGCAGAGATGAGTCATTAGATCAGAATCAAAAGAGATAAAAATGATTCACCAATGTATTGTTGTAAGAAAGGAGGAGGGGGGGGGAGTAGGAGGGATGAGAGACTAGCATTCATTTAAGAATTTCAAAGACAATGGACATTTCAAATTTCTTTTTAAGAGACAAGCATTGGTTCTATTAATTTTATCCCCACTACATCTTTATAGTTCTTTAACCTCATTCTCCGGCTTTCTTCAGCCTCCTTTTTTTTTTTTTTTTTTCTTTTTAAGTGGTCATGAATCACCAAGTGGAAATTCCACAGCCACTCTCTTGCCCAAAGTATCAAACCAATGCACAACACGAGAGATAGACGCAAAAGATGGATAATAGAAAATTGGAACAAATATGAAGCAAAAAATAAGAATTAGATTAATAAATATCTTTTTTCAGGGTAGGGAGGGTGAGAGACATTCTTGTGTGAAAAAAAAAAAAAAGTACTGTCCTACCTTTTTATATAACATTTAGACACCTCTTCTTCAGAACATAAACACAAAGCTTTATGAGTAAACAAGATATTACCTTCTGACATAAATAAGTATGAATCAGATAATTTCAAGCCCCCAAATAAACCTTTGAATATATATATATATATATATATATATATATATATATATATATATATATACACACACACACAGAGAGTTTTCCTTTAAAAGTGTGACCATGAAAATCACCTATTTAGTATATTCTATTTTCTAACTAATTAACAGTAGTGTATGAGTTAGTACTGAAAAGTATATGACTGGATTCACTTTCCAAAATCTGACCAAACATAAAAAATGTTTTTTAGAATATTTCTTGGTTAGTTTGAGAACTTTTCAGAATTTCCTTGTAATATGGTGATAGGAAAAATTCTTTCATAAATACAAGAATAGAATTTAATAAATATATAACAAAGCTGGCACTTATTTTCTAAAATATTGTTTCTTCAATTACAGCTGAAGTCTAAATAAATACTTGACACTTACCTCAGCGATAATGCTACCATTCTCTGCATGAACCATTGCCAAGGAACCAAGTTCTTTACATGCCTTGAAGGATTCATACAGCTCATTATCTCTCAGCATGAAGACATCTTTATATGCAAGAAACATCTTGAAGGAGTTAACACCTGTAACAAGAAATAAATAGATACATGATCATGTGCATGTACAAATTGTCAATAACATATAAAGCAATAGAAAGAAAATTCTCTTTATGTCAGTGATAAAAATACATCAATATGAAAAAGTTGATATTCTTATTTGGAAGGAAAGAGAAACAAAGAGGAAAGAGAAACAAAGAGGAAAGAGAAACAAAGAGGAAAGAGAAACAAAGAGGAAAGAGAAACAAAGAGGAAAGAGAAACAAAGAGGAAAGAGAAACAAAGAGGAAAGAGAAACAAAGAGGAAAAGAGAAACAAAGAGGAAAGAGAAACAAAGAAAAGAGAAACAAAGAAAAGAGAAACAAAGAGGAAAAGAGAAACAAAGAGGAAAGAGAAACAAAGAGGAAAGAGAAACAAAGAGGAAAGAGAAACAAAGAGGAAAGAAAACAAAGAGGAAAGAGAAACAAAGAGGAAAGAGAAACAAAGAAAAGAGAAACAAAGAGGAAAGAGAAACAAAGAGGAAAGAGAAACAAAGAGGAAAGAGAAACAAAGAGGAAAGAGAAACAAAGAGGAAAGAGAAACAAAGAGGAAAGAGAAACAAAGAGGAAAGAGAAACAAAGAGGAAAGAGAAACAAAGAGGAAAGAGAAAGAGGAAAAAAACAAAGAGGAAAGAGAAACAAAGAGGAAAGAGAAACAAAGAGGAAAGAGAAACAAAGAGGAAAGAGAGAAACAAAGAGGAAAGAGAAACAAAGAGGAAAGAGAAACAAAGAGGAAAGAGAAACAAAGAGGAAAGAGAAACAAAGAGGAAAGAGAAACAAAGAGGAAAAGAGAAACAAAAGAGGAAAGAGAAACAAAGAGGAAAGAGAAACAAAGAGGAAAAGAAAAACAAAGAGGAAAGAGAAACAAAGAGGAAAGAGAAACAAAGAGGAAAGAGAAACAAAGAGGAAAGAGAAAGAATTTGAAGTCTCCAAAGTGTTTGAGGGAGAAATCAATTTCACTGGCAGCCTAGTTTACAAAGACCTTAGCCATTACAAAAAGAAATCAATAAATTTTATCAATCAGTAATTATGATATGATGATAACCTTCACTAAGTATATTGGATGAACTTTCACTATTCTATCAATGATTTGGATTAGCATCTTCAGTTTTGATTATAAAGTTTCAGTCAAGAATGTTTTCAAGTAACGAAATTAGTTTCATTTTGTAGACTGATACATAAATGATAATTCATATGAATTAGAATTATTTTGTTTTGTAAGAAAAACAATGCCTCAAACATTTATGATTACCAAGTTGATGAACAAGATTTTGTTTAATAAATTCTATATAAAAAAAGGCTGACATGCTTACTATAGAATAAAACATAAGTAATTTTACATTTATCTGACAGACAATTTAGAATTTGTAAGAAATCTTTTGAAAAAATAAGATTTTGTATTCCACATTTTGCAATAATATTGCAAAATATGGAATGTACATGATGTTTATTTCTTTTTTAAAATGAATTAATGGTTCACGGTCTACTGGTTGTATTTTCCATCAAGGTAATTTTTCCCAACATCTCCTTTCAGTTTAGTCATTTTCAGTACTTACACATTAATTATTCTACATAATATATCAACTTACCTCTATCTTTGACAAGGATTTCCATTTCTTTAGCAACATGTGGGCTCCACCAAGTGACTCCAACATGTAAGCCATAGTCACAGCACACTTTAGCATCTGCCCAATCTCTCCACTTGTCATAAGCATCAAGCAAGGAGTGTCCACGAGGATCTAGGACAAAGTCCACTGGGAAAAGTTTTAAAAAGTAAATAATTAAAGTACATGCTTTATTTTTGCAACTAAACTTGTGCTGTTTCAAAATATTGCTGGCAAAAGAATAAATCATCAAAAATATGTATCTGTTTATATTTCTTAGAGGGGGTATTATGTACACTATTTACATTGTTTGGACTATCATCCTCATCTTTGTGGCCATATTTTGATAAATAGGGCAACAAAGATGAGGACAATAGTAAAAAAAAAAAAAAAAAAAAAAAAAAAAATGTAAATAGTGTATATCAAAAATATGATAGAAAAATGAAAATGCATTTTTGCTTTGTTTTTCCATACTAGAGATATTCATATTAAATAAATGAAGATCAAATTTGTTCAAAACAACTCAAACAGGATTGAAATATATCAGTTTCAATGTAGCCAATATATATACCGAGTATATAATCTTGTTGTGTGAGAATATATGCTATTAGTTTCATTAATAAAGCAAATAGCTATACAACATAAACATAAAAAAAAGTTCAAATAAACCACAAAAGTCTTTATATAAAAACATTTGAATATATATATATATTTATATGTGAAATGTTCATACAAGGTGTGCATGTGTTTTCTTTGTAAGGGACTTGATAGCTTAAAAAAAAAAAAAAAAAAAAAAAAAAAAAAAAAATATATATATATATATATATATATATATATATATATATATATATATATTTGGTATTTATCTTATGTTGATTGTCACGAGCCTGAATAAGTATGTCTTTCTAGTCTGACTGCCAGGAACAAAATAGAATGTTTGACTTTTGCACCTAACGATCTCTCAGGTAGTTCACATGACTATTTATATATCTATTTTTAGCTTTTTAAAGGGTTAGTCAAAGGGAGATAACTTTTGTCTCTCTCAACAAACCTCCCTGCCTAGTAGTGGAGTCTAGTAATAGTGATATTGGTTGTCTCTCTTCCAAGAAACTTTTCTACCTACTTTAGTATGACTGCTCTTATTCTTGTCTATGTTTTCTGTATCCATTATTATCGTGATGAGGTTGCTTTTCAGTTATTTGCTTATTAGTTTTAGGTTCAACGTGTAGTTTTAACCTATCAGCAGTGCGGTCAATACAATCTATTAGTCCATACTATATAAAAATAACAAAAAGAAGAATTTAACATACCCTATTGAGAATTTCTTCAATTTCAGTCAATGGATTATATTTTAGGTTAATTTTAAGAATGTTCATTAAGAGGAAATAGAAAATTTTGAGAGTCAATGTCCTTGTAGAGAAATCAAGAATTAGTAGTCATGTGTATGTATTAGATTGTTGGGTGAAAAATTTGGTGTATGTAAATTCTATCAATAGTTTCATTTTTCTTTTTGAGGTATACATAAGGTGCACAAAAGTTGTTTTACTGTCTCTTAAAGAAGAATGAATTTATAATGCACTGGAAACAGGCTATGAAAATACCTGGCCAAATCATGAAGCATTTTAAGTTTAATATTAAATTATAAATCATATATAAAAATAACAAATGGATACATCATAGACAAAGATTTAAATCTTAAAAAGAAGGGGAATATTGTGTGTGTGCATGTGATATTCACAGCAAAATTGCACATTAAATAAAAGTTGTAAAAGAAACCAAATGTGATTGATCCAAGTTTGAAAAAAGCAAAGCAAAATAAAAAAATATATAGTTTTACGATAAATTACACAATATATAGTACAATGTAAAACTATTGTAAATGTTTTATACTTGCCATCTTAAAAGTGGATGTTTTGTATGATTATTTATACATATGAAACATTGGTCCTATTGAAGTCATTTCCATACCTTGACAGATGAAAGTGTTACTGTATTGAAAGACTAGTCAGCTTAGAGCACTGACTGAAAGATTGTTAACTGTGAAAAGAGCTAAAAGAGAAGAGTTTGTCAGAATACATTTAATCTTGAAGTGTTGTAGGATCTCAACTAAAGAGAATGCTATCTCATACTTGTGATGACAGTGAAGAATTTGCACACATCCATTTCCAGGTGCATTGAAACAATTATTCATACTAAGGGAAGCTATATGAAATATTATGAATGTACAGTAAGTTTTTGAAATTAACATGTTATAAAACATTTTTCTGTTTTAATTTCACATTAATGCAGGAGGTCTTCCAGGGCTCTACCCTTTGACCCACGTATCTTATCTTCAAAAACCATTCCGATGTAGTCAGTTCCCAACTAGGTATTTATGATGATGATGAAAACTACTCTTGTCTTTGTTGAACCTATCAGACTTACTACTAAGTAAAACTGGCAGCTGCATCTGAAAATGACCTCCAAATCAGTGGTTAACTGGGACAAGGAATGGCTTGTAAATTTTAACACCTCCAAAACAAAACTGCTTTCATTTAATCACAGAGAACAATTTTTGCCTTCCATTAGCATGGCTGATACTAACTTCCTGTTTTCTTGGGCTCACATTTTCCACTGACATGAAGTAGGGTGATTATATTGAATCAATTACTAGATCTACTGCTAGGAATGTTGGTTCACTGTGTCATGCCAGACAATTTTTTTCAACAGAATCTATCTTGCACATTTATAAATCTACCATTTGTCTGTGCATTGATGCTCCTGCCATATATCTTGAGATTCTTGACAAAATCCAAAGAAGGGTCTGTAATGTAATAAGTCCTGACCTGGCATGTTGACTTCAATCCCTTTCCCATCACTGTGACATGGCTTCCCTCTGTCTTTTGCATAAATATTTTCATGGTAGGTGTTCTGATGCACTTTCTTCCTTGGGACCTCGACTGCATGAATTTAAAAACATTACTAGATTGACAAATAAGTCTCAGTCTTACTGTTGAACTAGATAGATATAACTGGTATTTCTTGCCTGTGTAACTCTTCCAGGTTTTGCTTCCCCGATACCTACAATCTTCAAAGATTTAAATGCAACACCAAGTCTTCCTGAAGCCTGTTCTTTCATTGTCCTTTCTCTTCACTAATTTCATCTCATTCGCTTTGACTCCAGTAACCCTTTGCATCTTAGTGACATTATTACCTTGCTTGGAGTGAAATGATAAAAAAAACCAAAAAAAAAACCAACTATATTTGGTTTAGTTTCAGTGAGGTGGCTAAAAACTTTCACTTGGGCATTTGTGGGGGTAGTCTCACAACTTACCATCTGAGAACTTCTGCTACGAAATATGGTAATTAAGAAAGGTAACAATTCCAGTAGGGCCAATGTTTCATTTGTAGAAAATGTGATTTGAAACAGGCTGGCAATTATGAGAAATTGACAGCAGTTTAATGTGGCCCAAATTTTTACATGGTACTTTTCAATGTACAAACACAAATTTACCACATTTTTTTTTATTTTTTATTTATTTTTTTTTTTATTTACAAAGTATTTTGTTCCAGGAATTTTTATCCAAAACTTTCTTCAATTTAACATTCAGAGATTAAATTGTCACATTGCATTGTTCAAGGGAAGGGAAGGGAAAGAAAGAAAAAAAAAAAAAGAAAAAAAGAGAACACCATTATTAAAAATGAGTATTGCTTTGAAGTCGTCAGTTAAAATAGTGAGACTTACTGATCATAGTGGTTCCTCCAGCGAGAGCAGCTTTGGTGCCGCTGTAGAAGTCATCAACAGCTTGAGTACCCATGAAGGGTAATTGCATGTGAGTATGGGTGTCAATACCACCTGTGAAAACAAGAGTTGAAATAATAAGTCTGATGATATCAGATGTGAATACAAGGCATATAATAAAATTCACACTTGTTAGGCATAGCTTACAAGGTGGGGGGAGGGAGAAGTAAAAAAAAAAAAAAAAAAAAGGCAGAAAAAATTCTCAAAGGTTGTTTTAGTTTTTGTAGTAGCACAAACGTTTAACATAACATACAATCAAATTTGGTACAAAAATGCAATTTAAATGATTAATCCTTTAAGTTATATTTAAATTCTTTAAGCCATAATAAATATTCAGTGAATGATTATTAAAAAAATCTCTAAAAATATGATTACAAAATTACTATGACCTTTATCTTTGCTGGGGTTTGCTTAAATTTTATTTATGTGAAAATTGAAAAATCATAAAAGATGCTAAATATTTCAGTATCACACACACACATATATATATATATATATATATATATATATATATATATATATATATATAAATATAAAAATAAAACTTACATACATACATTCCTAAAATATATAAAGCTACAAATGTTCAAACTATGTGTTTGAACTAATCATACCAACAGGATATCATTCCATCCAAAATAAATTTTCACATCACATAAGAACTTTTACGAGTACAAAAATGGTAAAAGAAACTTGTTGATCACTAAAGAGTCTCCCCGTCTTTTTTTCTTTGAAACCTGAATTACTAATGTCATGGAGGTAAGTAACTTGCTAGTGTAGAGAAATCAACTCTTACTAGATACTTTACTAGTGTGTGCTTTGTGTCAGGCTGAGCTTACATCCAGTAAATAAATATTTATTGACCTGCTTGATTAGTCAGTGGGTTGGTGTAGAAAAAAAAATACATGCCCACTTGCCATTACAATCTATACTCCTCCAATTTCTCCTAATTCAGATTGGTGCAACTCTAAGCTAAACTTCGTAATAGCAGACTTAAAAGTTAACTACTTAGTCATATCACAAAGTACTTCCCATACTTTTATAGTTTTGGGATCAAAGAAAAATAAGTAATATAGGCTGAAAGAAAAATAAGATTTATAAAGGGTTAATTGATAATCTTCTCTAATTGAAAAAGGCAGATGATAAACAGGTGCATTTTTCATAATAATCACAAACTGGACAGATATAAGAAAGCTAAGATCTTTTACAGCATCTTGAAATGTTTATTTCATAACTATGTAAAGTGGCAAAAGGCAGAAAAGAAATAATTGATTTTACTCCTATAAGTCATTCTGATTCACTTAGTTATTCAGTTAAATGTTGATTACTAATACTGATCTTTGAATTAGATATTAGTACATGTTGGGAATAGATTGAATTGATGTCTAATACAGCATATTCAGTTTACAGTTTAAAAGTAATTATTGGGTTGGAACAAAATGGCTGTTTTGAATCACAAACTTTAAAAACGTCATGACTCAAACAACTGTTAATCAAATAAAGCAAGCACCATTATAATCAATACAATGTTACAAACAAACCAGAAGTGAATTTATTTTATCATAATAAAAACTGAGGTCAAGGGAGTTGACAAACTGCCAATGCATTTTTGACATTGTTCACATTGGTGTCCACCTGTTGGTGCATATTGTAGCAAGTGTTAAACCACACAAGCTGCTAATCCTCAGTCAAATTATGAGGTAACCACTTCTGCCTTCTGTTCATTTTGAAGTGTTTGATGTTGGATAAACCTCTGCTTTCAATTCTTCTTGGTGAATGACAATTCTGAAGTTGACAACTCCAACCCCAGAGTTTAAACTCATTGAATATAAATCATGAAAATTATGTTTATTCACTTTTGCTTTGATATCCTATAAAAGAAATGGAAGTTATCAAAAAAGTCAAAAACTTGAAAGGAGAAAAAGTTTTAAAATACAGATAGATACAAAAATAGAAGGAAATGATGGGTGGAAAAAAAATATTGCAGGATTGCAAAAACAGCCATCTATTTTGCTTCAATTTATTGCTATTTCTAATGGGAAAGGCACATTCACAAAGCATATCTAAAGTTTTGTTTCCCAATATCAATGTTTTCTTACGAGCCAACTGAATTCTGAATTAGGTGCCTTTATTGACATTGATTAGCAAAATAAAAAGCAAGAACCCTCAAAAACTAGTTAATACAAACAAAGAAATGTTTAACAATACAATAGGCTCCCTCCATCCAATTCCAAACTAGTTCACTTTGTAAATACTGGTTGATTGCAGCTTAAAAAAAAAAAAAAAAAAAAATCAAGACTACTTAGAAAGAAAAAAGTAATAATAATAAAAACTCTTAATGAGCAATGAACCTGATAAATTTGTTATCAATAGACACTTTATACAGATACGGCCAACAAGCCACAGTTGAATGAACCCTGTACCAGCTGGACACCTGGTAAATCTATCCTATTTTATAATTCATAAGTTTTCTGTGAAGCTCATACTGCTATCAAAAGAGATGGACAGGCCATTTAGCAGCTGTAGTAGATTTTTTAGAGCACAGACTTGTTAGGAAGGAGGGTGTCACTCAACAAACTAAGTGTAATATCTTCCATAGATTTTACTTAGAAGAGGAAAGTGTCATTTTCTGGTTAGGGGGTGAGGAGAGAAAATAATGGTTCTACTTCTGTCATTTTTATCAGAATATTAATGAGAACTCACTCTACCATTGTTATGTTCTTCATTGTATTAAAAAAGAAATTTATGGTAAGAGCTGAAAAATGCTTTATTGAAAGCAAAGTTTTTCTTTAACTTTACAATATATTATACTCATTTGTCAATTTTATAATTGATAAAGGAAAGATGCTAGAAGTGTTAAGTTTGATCCTATTTAACAGATTCGAGAAGATGTGGACACAGTTCAAGGTTTTTTCTTGTTTTAGTTATTTTAAAACTGTTGAATTTTTAAATAACTATTTAAAATTAATACACATGTGAAAAAAATGTCCGATTTAAAACTTAAATGTTAGGATTCCTTATATAAACTGGTTTTCTATGTAAGTTTCTTTTTCAAAACAAAAGAATTTTATTTTCATGAGCTTGATACATTATTTAAGAAAATTGGCTTAGCATTTGTACAAAGAGAAATAATGAAAGACTATAGTAACAACTGGGTGAAGAAATGATAAAAAATGATGGTGTGGGAGATGGTAAGAAATTTTTTCTTTGTTTTTAAATGCAACTGCAACCTGAAAAATTTGGAAAAATAGACATCAAGTGGGAAACAGAAAAAAAAAAGAAAAGAAAATGAGGAGCAACTACAATTAAATCTCATTTGCATTTTTAAAATTAATTTTATAAAAATCCAGTCAAAAAAAAAAAAAAAAAAAAAAAAAAAAAAAAAAAAAAAAAAAAAATTAAATTAATAAAAAGAAGGAAAAAGAAAATCACCTGGAATGACAAGCATGTTCCTTGCATCGATGGTTCTTGAACCTCCCGGAATGACAAGGTTGTTACCAATTTGCCTGAAAAGAAGATACAGAAACTGTATTAAAAATTGTGTTAACTAGAAATCAAATTGGTAAAAATGGATATTGTACTCTTGTCTTTTCTTAACCAAGTGCACTTAAAAACTTTTAATGACCTCCCAACTGAATTGGCAGTTTACAGAGTTGTGAGAAAACATTAGGCATAAATAAATGATTAGAAACATTTGAAAGAAACCAATTTAAATATATAGACTAACTTTGCACAAGAGTTGACATAGTTGTGACAACAATGTAAGAGATTGGATATGTCAGTTTAGAAATATTGCAAAAATGTCTACTCGGTGTTACATGTTCCTCAATCAACACATTGATCTTTGCTAAATACACAGGACATATTGAAGGCAAAAGAAGCAAGAGGAAAGAGGAAATAGCCTGCTTAATGAGTTTGGTTAAATGAATGACATAACAATGAAAAAGAGGGATAATAAAGGTGGCAAAGTTACTTAAAGTAACAAAAACAGGAAGTTGTAGAGATTTATGATTGCCTACATTTTGAAAGTACATAACACAAAAGAGAACAGAAAGAAAATTAGGTAAGTTTGTAAGCAACACAAAGATCAAAGTGTTATCTTAAAATATCCTAAAGTTATAGGATTAAATACACAAGTGATTTTCTGAGAAGTTTATTTTTTAAAGGATCTTCAAAGAGAATAAAACATCCTACCAGTTGAAAAATATGGATAAATACAATTTGCAAGCTTTCAAATTCCATACAGATGGAGGCTGAATTAAGAACACAGGCTGAAGTTAAATTCAAGCATTATATATATATATATATATATATATATATATATATATATATATATATATATATATATATATATATGTGTATGTACATAATTGGTGTATACGGAATGAATTCCAATAACCAACAATTACTATTTTTCAAAGAGTGCTCAGTACAAAGTAGAGCAGATATAATTATTTTTATAAAAAAAAAAATTCATAACATAAATATGTTATAAAACCACTACAAAAATAGCCATTTTGTTTCAACACTCTCGTGTCTTATCAAGGGTGTTGAAACAAAATGGCTATTTTTGTAGTGATTTTATAACATATTTATGTTATAAATTGTTTTTTATAAAAAATAATTATATATATATATATATATATATATATATATATATATATATGTGTGTGTGTGTGTGTGTGTGTGTGTGCATGCGTATTATATACACAAGTCAAATAGGTGCTGAATATATCACCCATTATATATAAGCTAATCAAGAAAAGTGACCATTTTCCAATTAGTAATCAGTTTTTTTCAGACTATTAATCTCCACTAATTCTTTACCACTCAAAAGGATCAATTTACAATCAATTTAATAAGATTAAAATTAATACAAAAAAAAAAAAAAAAAAAAAAAAAAAAAAAAAAAACTGTTTGAACAATCATCTCATAATATGATGAGTGTGGAAAGAATATTAAGGACTTTTCTTTTTGGCATCTATTAACTCTCAAATCTTTCTTTTTAGGTGCCATGTCCTTTCAGGACGTAGGTGATCATCGCTCTCCATCTTCGTCTAACTCTTGCAGCTCTCAACAAGTTCCTTCCCTTTGCTTCCTCCCCCAGACCACATTCTTTCATCCACTTGCTTAGCCTGCCAGGTATGTCACATCTTGTTTTCCCTTGTCTCTCTTTCCCTCTATTCGACCCGTAAGTATCAGATTCTCCAGACCCTCCTTCTTCATTATGTGTCCCAGAAACTTCAGCTGCCTCTTCCTGATGTTAAGTATAAGCCTCCTCCTTGTTTGCAACCTCTCTAAGACGTTATTGTTGTTCACATGCTCAGTCCATGATATCCTTAGCATACTTCTGTAGAACCACATCTCTTTTTGCTTCTCTTCTTCATCTTTGAGGAAATTGTTCAGCATTTGCTGCTGTAAAGACAGATGTCACGTAACAGCTCAGTATGTCTCTTTTTTGTTTTTTTCTGTTTTAGTTACCAAAAAAATCCTCCTGTCTCACAATACTCTTTTGGAATGTGCCCTTGACCATCGCATTACATCTGTGGATCTTAGTGTCACATTTACCATCCTGTCAAAATGCTTCCTAGATATTTAAACTTCCACATCTACTTGATTCTAGTGTTCCTGATCAGCAAATCGCATTTCGGACTCATCCTTTTACTGATGACCATGCATTCTGTCTTCTTATAGTTTATGCTTAGTCCCTTCTTCTCACTCTCCATCTCTACCTTCTGTAGGAAACCTTAGGTAAGTGAAATGTTTCTCATCTAGCAAAAGCCAGCACCATTATATCAAAGAGAGAAATTATTGTTGAACATTTGCTTGACTATTAATTTTTAAAACTTAAAAAAAAAAATTTTTGAGGTAGAGTCATAAGAAAATTATTTTTTCTTTCTAAGATATTCATTAGATGCAAACAAATAAAAAGATACATTTTAAATGCAGCAGAACTGCTAACCATGAAACATATTCCTCAAGTTTTAAGAGTTTTTAAAGGATTTTTTATGCATAGAGAATGATAAAAAGGGAGGGGGAAAAAAAAAAAAAAAAAAAAAAAAAAAAAAAAAATCTTATTTTGTACTGTTATTGTAAATTATGATCAACATCTACATTTAAGTAGAATGAATATCATTTGAGGCTGACAGTTAATTGCATCTTTTATCAATGCAGAAGGTAGAATCAATTCTTTCAGAGATTCATGTATGGAATCAACATGCTGACACTTGCTATTATTTCTAAATAATATTTTGGCGGCTTAGTATTAAAAGGCAAATTGGGGGGGGGGAATCTACTCCCATCAAAAGGTTAAGGAGTCAATTTCTAGCTTAATAATTGCTGGATATAAAATTACAATCATAAAAAAACAAAAGAAAAAGTGATAGCAGTTGAACTTCTAACCTTCAACTATCTTACAGCTTGTTATTACAGCATAAATGAAATATCATTACCAACAAACATGTGACAGCTGTATGATATTTCAAATTATAAATATTTTCTAAGACAGCCTGCTACAAATATTAGCATCAAGCTAGTATATTACTAAGAGTGCAAATTCTCAGAGGGAAAATCAGCAGAAGTAATTTTCAAGAAAGCAAACTGGCCAAATTATTATACAAGTAGAAAATCAACTGTGGACCAATTTTGTCAGTTCTGACAAAGTAAATATTTTAATATATATTTATTAGTGATAAATTCATTTATAGTAAACATTCAGTTTATAAGTTTCCAGATGAATAAATCTTTTGAAGAATTAGTTTACTAATTTTTGTTGGTCAATATTTTAAAAAAGATTTTTAACAAAATAAATGCTGCAATAAATTCAATAAGTCTGTAACATGATACAACCTAAAAATTAACCAGATAATCAACTGATGAGTAAGAGATAAATGCAGTCAATATATTAATGTGACCAGTATTATAAGATAGCAAGTAAAATAAATTTAAACAAGCTGAGATTAGTGGCTGTGATGATAGCAAGCTAACATCTAACCTGCAAATGAATCAATGTCCTCTACCTGCCAAGTTCATAACTGGACAAATGGAATTAGAAATTATTAAAAATGGGAGAGACTGACAAGTAGTGTTGGAATTCCATCAGTATTTTATCATTGGTCCCCTGTCTTTGTATAAGAATGGAAGGGAGAATCTGGCACACAGCATGGCATGCATTGTACAAAATTCCTTGTTATTGATTTTGAGTTAACCCCTTTCGCATTCTGTGAGGAATGCAATAACAACAACATACAGTGGCAGCATATCTGGAGGTTCAACTGTGCTAGGTTGAAGTTTGAATCAGTTTTGGTCTTCATTATCCTTCTGATGAATGTCATGATATTTCTGGAGATGATATCACAAATTGTATCTCCCTTTATTAGGGGATCACTTTGATTTTGATAACATGTCAATATATTAGCTTCATTATTTTAAAACATCATAGGACGAACAATTACTCTAGAGAAAAACTGTTTTTGGATAAATTTAAACTTATCCATACAATCGTTTTTATATTACAATTAAGCCAATTGATTCTGCTCAGATTTTTATTTTAAATATATTGCTTTTTTGGGGGGTTACAAATATATTACTGTGTTGCCTATGGTGACAACTGAAATCCAAGTCTTCTATTTATGAGGAAGATATTGAGAGAATTAAAAGTAAGGCAAATAGATTGTGAAAAAAAAAAAAAACATTTAAAAAAGCAAAAAAAAAGCAAAAAAAAAAAAAAAAAAAAAAGCAATCATTTGATTGTTTCACTGATGCAAATGAACATATCTTAGTAATGACAAACTAATTTCCATCTGGTTAAGCAGTTATCGTCTTAATTGCTCTATAAAAATATTTCATCAGCATATTACCTCCTCCATGAAACAAATTCTAATCTATATTATCCTGTAATATTATTTAAAAATCCATTAACATCAACATGAAATAAATGTGTCTTCTTTGATTCAAATGATTTGAGAGCAGAAAGTAAAACTTGCACAAAGATTTAATGAAACTATTCAATTCAATATTGGGAGTTATTGAGTGCACTTTCAGAATTTTGATGTAGCAAAATTTATGAATCATAGTGAAATTGCTTTCAGTTAAGTTTTAGAGATTATCCTGAGCCTTAGAAAGTGCAATCAGCTCTAAATTGTTGGAGAGAAAAGAATAAGATTTTTGTTTCAGGTTTTCTTAATTTATAAATGCTACAAGAAAAAGTTAGATAACAGAAAACCTATTTATAGGATGAAAATAAAGTGCAACAGTATTCACCACTCTTCTTTCTGAAAGAATGGACCTATCTCATAAAACAAATTCAAATGAATAGAAATAATTAAAAAAAAAATTATATTAACTTTAATTATTTAGAGCTATTTATACAGAGAAATAGCAAAACCAATAATTGGCAATTTTATAAAGGCCTAGCCATTAATTCAAAACAAAACACTTCAATATCAATTGCATTAACTTAATTAAAAAAGAAAAAAAAAAGATGAACTCAGAAGTCTGAAATAGTTTGCACAATACCAACAGATGGTTTTTATGAGAGTAACCTTTAAGATGATCGAAAGAAAAATCTCACCCATGCATTGCTTTTCAAACAACCTATTTCTCACTTCTACAACAATTTCACATAAAGAATAAATATACAACTATCTAGGTATTTACAGTATGAGATAGATACCTAAATAGTTACTGCCTGTTGGTTATGCAAGTGGCCAACATTAAAGATAACAGATTTATATTAAACTTACTATATTTTCTCATTATGCATATGATTTTTTTTTTTACATCAACAAGAAGTGAAATAGTTTAGAGCTGTCTGCTGGATTGTACATTTGGAATGAACTCAACTTCATACTTTCAGTGCCAGTAACTCACTTTGAAAGAATTTCTCACTCGAATAACAAGTAGCTGCATGTTAGAGATTTTAAAAATTCTATTGATAAGAAAGTATGTAATATTCCTGTCAAGCTTTAATATTTATCATGAAATAAGATTCGAGCAAATAAATTGCAGATTTTCATGTCTTCTGTTATGAATTAAAATAGAAAAAGCAGGCAGCAAGTCAAATACATTCAAAATTTTCTTTCTTCAGAGCTTAGGAATAATAACTTTAAATCAATTTCAGTAAATTGTGATAAGCTAACAAATATTTATGTTTAGCACAATAATAAAAACCAGTGTTAGTTCCCTCATTCAACAAACAAGCAGGGGTAAGAAAAAAAATCCAGTTAATTTATTTTATACCTTTTAAAAAATAAAATAGAAATAAAATAAAACCATGCAAGCATTTATTAAAGGAATTATGAAATGAAATGAAATGAAAAAAAAAAGAAAAAAAAAAAAAAGTATAAGCTCCTAAAACTTAATTTCACCTATATTTTTTTAAATGTAACCTTTAAATATTTTTTGAATTATCAAAACTGTTTATAAATCAAGTTTATTCATTTAACAACAAATTTCAGAAGAGGAAAAGTGATTGATTCAATAACCAAATATAAATTCTTATCAAGCTGAAATGATTTATTTTAAATCTTTTAGAAATAAATTGACTACTTTAACAGATAAATATATCAATTACTGAGACAACATTTTAAGAGAAAAATGCATTCCTTTCTTCTATTTTAAAAGAAGCTATTACTCTAAATACAGGTAGAAATTTCCTGCATGTCAGACTGCAGATATTCAGTTAATACACCAGAAAATTGTCCAAGTCTTCCATGATTGTTTTGGCTGAAGATTGAAGATTCATGAGGAAAAAGGGTGAATAAATACTATGTAATTCACATGGCTCAAATCTAGGAATTTGTCAGAGTGGTGGGAAGAGAAATGCTTGACAAGTGCAAAGGATCTTGCAGCTAAGTGGGGGAGGAGTGATACAATGTTCTTGGAATTCCTAGAATATTTGTGCTATTTGTGCTGCTTACATTTACCATAGTTGCAAGGTGTTTTCATATGACGTTATCTTTTCAGAGACAAATATATAGCATTATGGGCTCATTTTATTACAATTGATTCAAGGTTTTATTTAAAGGTTCGTCACTGAATAAATGTAACATGAAAATGTGAAAACTTATCCAAGAGAAAGGCGATCAACTTACTTAATGATTCCATCTTCAATGTAAATGTCAGCATCTATAGACTGATCATCATTGACAATACGACCGCCTTTGATGAACAGACGAGATTGAGCACTCTGAAAAAGAAGGATCAGCATAAGGTCAGCAAGTTGTATAAACCAATAAGAAATACAAAGAAACAGAAATCATACCAATGTTGCAAAAAGGTAATTTACACTAAAAGAAAAAAGCTATTTGCTCATTTTTGCATGTCATGTGCATTTGTGAATGAAAATTTGAGGCTATCAAAAGTTTGAAAACTCAGAGGTTAGATAATGTTAAACATCAATAACCAATCAGATTATATTGTTTTTTTTATGTATGCCCCCCCCCCAATATAACAGGAGACAATTCTTTTTTTTCCCTTTTATTATAAAGTACAGATAACCTAAGTGTAATATATATTCAAATATTTTTCAAATTGAGACTTTATGCAATTAGAAATATTGTTGAGCTAAACTTTTGACACTAAATCAATTCTCAGTTTAATTTCAAGAAGCAAGATCATTGAGAACATTTTTGACTGTACCATCATAAAAAAATTGAAAACCTTTTGTTTACAAAGATTTGATAAAATGTTTTTTGGGTATTTATAGTCAAAGAAATACAATACCACGTCATCTACTTCAGCTACAATTACACAAGATCTACTTACAACACAATTTTAAAGACATGTACTAAAAATATCTATTGGCTGAAATTGCTAACTTTATATAAAGGCAATGTCAAAAGATATGAGAAATAAGCATCTTATAAATACAAGAAATACTGCAAGTAAAGGAGTAAGATAGTTTAACACTTTACAAGCATAATACTTTGTATAACAAAATACAGCCTTCATCAACTGTACAATTCTATACAAGCTATAAATGCTTTTAAGTATGTCTGGTTTTGCATTGGATTTATAAGTCAGGGAACATATCGGAATTTGACTTTCATGTTTTATATATATATATATATATATATATATATATATATATATATAAAAAAAAATTATTATTCAACAGGATATCATTAATTCATGAATTTACAATCTGAAATCTGATTAAATTTTATTAGGCTTGAAACAGTCATACATTTTAATCAAACGGGAAAGAAAAATCAACATAATTACAAACAATGCTATAACATGTAAGGATTTGTTTTTTTGGTTTTTTTTTGGTTTTCATGGGAAAGAATATGAGTTTATCTATGACATATCTTTGAATAATAGGTCACTGGCAGATAACTAAGATAAAATGGTTGATAGAATATATCTAAACTATCAATTTCTTAATTTAAACTTATCCTCATTTTGCCACTTGATGGAAGAAGAAAAAAAGACCAACATTTTATTTTTCATTATCATACTTGTAAATCTTAACTTTGATTTAATTATAGCCATTGTGTTTATTAGGAAAGAATTTACAAGTGCCAAATGGTTAAACTGAAAGAAATCAAAAGTAGAAAGCAGACTTAGAAAATAATTTGTCAAATAGAAAGTATGGATCCCTGAAATAGCATAGCCCTATCCATTGGTAAAAATGGTAAGATCCTATAGTTGTTCTATGATTGAGATATATATATATATGTGGTTGTTGAAAAGTTCTCAGCCCAACCAAGAAAAAACTTTAAGGTTTGGTCAGAGTGAAAACTTTCACCATCCGTGTATGTTTACATATAAGATACATACAAATAAAAAAAAAAAAAAAAAAAAACCCAAAATACTTTTAAACTGATTATAAAAATTGTATATATCCTGATAAGTATAAAATGTGTTACAACAGTTTATAAAAAGAAAATTTAATATAGATGTTTAACTAAAAAAAAAGTATCAAGTGTCAATACAATAATTGTATAATTTTTTGATCTAAGAAAAAAAAAAAGTTAAAAGAAGCTTACACGATGCTCTGCACAATCACAAACCCTGTATGTTGTCCGAACACAAGCAGCTGAATCAGATGGAGGACAATCGTCATCATTAGAAGTCATTTTGTAAGAAACAATGACATTGGTGAAAAAAAAATATGCAAGATACTAGTTAGTTGGTTGACTCATCCATTGACTACAGCTATACTGTTGCCTTTTAACTGTTCAAGCCTTAAACATAAGGTCAAGGCTACACACTACTACAGACATATCTAGGCATGAGGAACTCTCAAGTGTAGCAAGATTCTAAAGTAACACTTGAAAGTTTCAGCCACAAGGAGCCACAATATATAATGAAATAGGAAAAGGAAATGTGATGGGGGTGCGGGTTATGACCAGTAGTAGGAATTTTTTTCTTTATCAGAAGGAAACTCTTGAAGGTTTATCAACATACCTACATCTATATAGAATAAACATCCGAAAAGCAAGAGAAAGCATACGTGGAATATTGGTCTTGTCATCTGGCATATGCTATAGAATTAAGCAAGTTTGTGCCTGCCTATCAAACCATGAGACATGCATAACCTAGGTAAAGAATAGAGGGTGGAAAGTGTAGACACTTGAAATTAAGAACAGTAAATTAGCAGATGGTAATTGACCAAGTCTGGCAGACACAACCTTTGCTTGAAAATTGTATATAGATAGAATCTGGCCAGGTGATGAAGACAGGCAGTCAGAGAAAACTGTTTATTTATGCTAATATCAACTTAGCTAAGTTTCCTTTTCTTAAATGTATACTAACTTTGCAGTGTTTGTAGAAAGCCAGCTGGCAGACTAAGAACTTGTAAGCTTTTTTCAAATCATCAGTAAAGTTACCCTATTGCACAAGAGGAAAACCGAAATAGGCAGTTTGCATAAAGCATAAAGACAAGCTTACCTATTCTTTTCAGCTGATAGAAAAAGTAATATTCTATCTGAAGATTTAATCTTAGGAAACTTGTTTTAGTTTTCAGAAATTCTCTTAGACTTTATTATGCAAAATAAAAAATGAAATCTCTTGGGAATGCTTCAACATAGTTACAGTGAAATCAACTGCCTAAGCATTTTAATTTACATTATTCTGCTGAATATATGCAGGGCCAAGTTTTTTTGTTTCCCCACCCCCTCCCTATTTATTTACTATATTCAAAGATCTGACATTTAAGCTGTTTGATAATAAACTGACTGAAGATACTCTATATTTTATATTACCAAAAAAATTCATGTAGCAACAGATAAAATAAGAGTAATTTTTCATATTTAATATACTAGTTTTCTACAAGTAGCCAATTGTACTGTGTTAAAAATGTGTTACTCAGGTTGCAACTACGTTTACCTAACTGGCCAAGACAACTACATGGTCTCCATTCAAAAATCAAACAAATTATTTCTATCATTACTGACTTTATGAGAATATTATGAAAGGAAAATTCATTATTTGCAAGGAGAAAAATAATATATTGGAATTACAATTACTTTCAAGTTTTCTTCAATGAAGTATATTATTTATCTAAAATCTTAAACATTTAAAAGGTTACATTAAAACTACTTTAATTGAATTCAAGTAATACAATGATAAATGAGGAAGGTTTAACTACAATAAAATCTTGGGACCAAATAAAAGAAAAGAAAGAAAAAGATTATTTTTGGATATCAGACATGTATAAATTTAACAAAAATGTCAGCAGAAAAAAAAAATCCTGTTAATCTCATTATTTTAAAGTATTGTTAAATTATAAAGCTAATTTTACTTGTATAGAATCTTTTTATGATGATGATTATTAATTTCCATTTGTTTTCTCTTAATCCTATCATAACTAGGTGACCAAAAAGATAACCAGAACAATATGATCCTAATCAAAATGTCCCTTGGACAAAGTTGCCAAAATCTTGAAATAAAGTTGTTTTTTCTTTTTTTTAAATGAGTAAAAAAAAAAAAAAAAAATTACATTCAGGATGATAAATACACAATTTAATTTCTCTGCTGTCTGTTCAGTCATATCACGTGAACTAGTTTTTTGGCTTAGATTTCATAAAAAGTGGGAAAATCTCAATGACTTTATTTTTCAGGATACATATGTCCTAGTAAACTACAAACGTGTGTGTGTGTATATATATATATATATATATATATATATATATATAAAACTATGAATTATTGAATTAAATTGTTGGAACTATAAACAAATTGGATAAAAAAAAACGAATGAATAAAATTATACAAATGATTGAGAGCTTGGAGTAATCAGGATTATTGTAACTGAACATTCTGCAACAATCAAGACAAATGTTTGTTAAATAATGAGGAAAAGTTAAGACTAGTGAATTGTGGCAAACTGTCATTTAATTGTGACTCATATCATTACAACTGAAATGTATGAACACATATGTAATACAAATTACAATGAAGGAATTGGCTGCTCTCAGCTTTTACAGATATAATACTTATACCACAAAATTTATGAAGACATGAAACAATAAATGCCACAAACTGTTTGACACTATCATTCAACCTTATTACATATGTAGCTGTAACAAGGAGAGGATAAATCTATCATCCTATCTTTGCTACACATTATGCTTATTCAACTCATTTAAATAGCCAAATCTGAATATTTTTTTTAATGATTGAGATAAGCAGAGACAAAGAAGAATCAATTGCTCATTTATAATATCACTTGTATACTAGCAAACTGAATAAGACAGTCCTTTAACTGCTAATTATGAAGCCTGTATTCAGAATGATGCTTTCTTGCAAGCAGGGTAATGCTTTAAGCTAAGGTAAACTATTTTAATTTTCGTGAAAAGGGCCTTAATCTGAGAGGAAAGCAAAAATTTGATTTTTTCATTTAAATAAAAATAAAAAAAAAAACAAAAAACACACACAACCCAAAAACTAACAAATGATAAAAAGTATTTATTTACTTCCTTTGAATATAATAGGAGTTGCTGTTTGGGGAAAAACATCTGGAACAAAACATTTTGTTTTGCAATTGGGAAAATTTTTTGTAAAATGGAAGGGTGCATTTGAAGTCACTGCAAACTGAACACACAGTAACATTGGCAACATAAAAGGGAGAAAGGTGATGTAAGCAGTGTCTTCCATCTTGTAATAAAAAAAATAAAATGAATTAATATAAATTGTGTTTAAGAGGTGAAGTGATGTAAAACAGTTTCCTCCCTTTATACA